AGGATTTTTGTCCTCACTTTTTGCGTATATGCATATTCGGCGTCAAAATGCTTTAAAACAGCGCATCTTTAAAAACCGATTGGCATCTCTGTTCTGTGTACTCAACACACAACTGACAAAGAATACTTTTACCCTGACCCCTCTCACTCGACCAGATAACCTCTCCCCTGACCTGATGACCAACCCCTTCCTCCCCTGGTCACCTGATGTAGGCATCCACACTTTCCCTCAAAAATTCGTCTCCAGGCATGTCTCCCAGCAGAGATGTGATGCTCTCCTCATGGGTGGCCCTCAACCGGCCAATTGTGGCCTCTTTCTCCTGCAGGTCGGCCCCAAACATCTCTAGCTGAGCCTGAGCACCGGACTGTTTGTGCAGCTGGTTCATCTCTGTGCTGTGGAGGGACATGGGGCAAGATGGAGACAAGATTATATTGTGACATGAATTTATTCCTTCCATTTCTAATCGTGTTTTTACATCCCCATGAACACAACAGACAGACTATATCTCAGGACTTGAATTCATTCCTTTTATTTCTTATTGTGTTTTTACATCCTCATGGACGAAATTTTGATCATTTAGGAGACGGATTTTGACCCGGCCTGTCAGTACCAACCTGGGCAAAGGGGGATACAACATCCCAGCAGAAAGACCAAGATGCTCAATAAAAATTTTCACTACAAATGAATCGCACTTAGGTCCTGAGCATGCTATGGGAAAGTGCCAAACCACAACACAACAGACATTCGTAATTTCAGCCTAATCAACAAGTGCATAAATTGCCAACTTTTCAAAACCAAAAGACCATGTCAAGATGGTGAACATTGGTCTTTCCCCCCTTTTCCAAACCCTTCATACACACTTTTCGGCATTCAATAAATTCAAACAATTCAATGTAAACCCACATCAAAAGAATTCTCCAATTTCTTACAGTTGCTCTCATTTCTATTTGCAAATCCGGTCTCAAAAGTTCTGAATTTTACTTCAACATGTGCAGGTCCGTCAGGAGCAAGACTAGAAAACAGAAAATGCATATTATTTTCCAATACTGTACAAAAACGGACTTCCATATTCAGACCCTAAAAACATACTAAATTCATTTTTTATTTTAGTTTTATTATAGTTTGGGGCGAAACACAAGTTAGTTTTATTCGCAACATTTCACTGTACGGCTGGGCTTGGGTCAGTAGTTAGATCTTAAAATGTTAAAATATTAAAAATTAGGTGCAAATATATATTTTCAATCTAAAACAACTTTCCTAAATAACAGAAAAATTTTTAATAATTCAATTTCACTCTATAATTTCCCATAAAGGCCAATGGCCTTCATAAAATCCAAAATTCTGTTGGGAACAACGACGGAAAAAATGTCTTGCAATTTTTTGCATTTAAAGTATTTCCTTCGGGTCTCTCCGAAGTCTAGACATTCGGTTAAAATGAGTCTAAAGGTAAAATCTGTGTCGCATTCGACACAGAAGGGCTTCTCCTCTCCCTGAAGGAGGTATTTGTGTGTTAGGGTCCGATGCGCAATCGAGTAAAAATAACTTCATCTCTTCCGGAGAGGCCCAAAGGATTTCGCGGTCCCAGTTTGGGTTTAATGTTGTGCAGTTTGTTATTAGTTTGTTTTTTCCAAAGGCTCTCCCACAGACTGGAGGTGTACTTTTTTACTTTATTTTTAAAGTCAGTCTGTGGGAGAGTGTTCGTCGTTGATCCCAACTGAAGGGATAAGGATTTCTTCGCCAGGTCATCTACCTGCTCGTTTCCTCGGATGCCCACATGGCTAGGTATCTATGCGAACACGATACTTTTCCCCGTTTCAGTTAAGGTGTGCATTTTCTGTTGTAGTGTAACTATTTTGGGGAGTAGGATTGTGTAGTATGTGAGTGAGGTGATGCAAGACAGAGAGTCAGAAAGGAGAGGGAAAGATTTGTTAGAAGAATTTTACACTGAGTCCAGTGCCGCAGAGAAAATGGAGGCTTCAGGATGGAGTCTCCTCTGGTGTGTACTGTTTGAAGATAGGGCTGTGGCGCTCACATTATTGTCTTTTTTGGAGCCATCTGTAAAGACAAGCTCCGCACCGGGGTATATTTCTTAAAGTTTTTCGTATTCTGCTTTAAATGTTTTGGTGTTGGTACTTGCTTTGTCGTGTGTGGTCAGCTGTAAGTCTACTTTTGCCTTGGTGAGGTGCCACGGAGGGAGTTCGGGGAAAAAATTTGTTGGATGTCTTGTTTGGAAAAGTGTATTGTATGTTTTTGAGGTCCTCAAGGATTCTGAGGCCGAAGGGTTTGATGAGTCTTTTGTTGTTTTGGAATTTGTTTATGGTATCTGAGTTTGTTTTAAAAATGCACTTGCGTGCTGGATTCTCTGGTGTTGAGCTCTGTTTAATTCCGTATTGTAGTGAGAGTTGTGCGTGTCTGAGTGTGAGTGATGGTATGTTTGCCTCGGCCTGGAGCCGGAAAAGTGTGGAAAGCCCCGAGAGCGAGGCGGAGTCGTTGGTTTTGCACTGGGGCTAGCATTTTTAGGATGTGTGGTTTTGCCGATCCGTAGACCTGACAGCCTGGATCGGACAAGAATGATGTACAAGTGGAGAAGGTGCGATAGAATTTTCAAAGCGTTTGACGCTTTCAGGCACCTCACACGAAGGTCTTTGATGAGTAGTATGAATGTGAGATTTTTGTTGAATATAACGCCGAGGAAACGAGCCTGGTCCTGGACGGGAATCCTTTCCGCGTAGAGAGTCAAATCCAGCTGCAGTACACGTCTGCCTGTTCGGCAGAAGTGTACTGCAATCGTCTTTGACGGGGAAAACTTGAAACCGTTATTGTTTGCCCACTTTTCGAGTTTGAGCTGCATTTGCAGCTGCCTTTCCATAGATCTTAGATGAGGATTTTTCTAACGGCAGCATATCAAAAAGTCGTCAAAGTATAACGAGGTGTCTATGCTGTTTTGGAGGGTTTTCAGGATGGAATCTATCTTGATTTCAAATAGGAGAGGAGAAAGGATGCTCCCCTAGGGGACTCCTTCCTCCTGTTGGAGGGGGTCTGAAAGGGAGGATCCGACATGAACCAGGAAGGAACGGTTCTTAATTTTTCACTTACTGGTTGGCAGCTATGCAAATGCAGTTATAAATGTGACATGCCTGATGGATGAATACTAAAAGAAAAAGAAAACTGAGTGGCCTTTTTCAGGTCTCCCAAACATTATCTGTCTGTCGTCTTGCATAGAAAACAAACGGGCTAGACTAATCCCTCCAACTTTTCTAGTGGAAAACTCAAAGGAAACGTAAAACAGTAGCCATTTCAAATTTGGTCAAAGCGACTGGTCTCAGGGGGAATTGTTTCAAAACCTCAGCTTAGTTAAAGAAAATTTACAGCTAAGAAGTCTTTCCTAACTATGTCTGTCGTACATACTTGAGTTCACCAATTTCTCCATCGAGAGCTTTTTTCTTTTTGTCCAGAGAAGCGATTTCACCACGTAATTCCTCCACATTTACAGCAGCTTCTGTAGACTGGAGATCATTTTCCTGGAAAATATACAATAAAGAAAATAGTTCAAAACATGATCAACGTCCACCCACCACCAAAGTGGCTAATAATTTGTTTATGACATCATAAAAAAACATCCATCCACCAGGTAAGAGACTTATCTATAGTACATGATCATGTAATCATTTTTTAAAAAAACCAATCATCCTTTCACGTTACGAACAGAGTTTATAGCATGATCAAACACAAAAATATCCCCTCACTATAAGTAGCAGCTAATTTATAAACTGTATCATGATCATTGCAAAAATATACTCCCATAATGTAACTTAACTAATAACTGAAAATACTAGCAACATACACAAGAAGAGAAATCTCTCCAGATTGTTCCATCATCAACCATGAATAGAAAAATAATCTCTAGCAGACAGAAAACCTCTTCCTATAAATCAAGGGCCATAATTTATTGAAATATTTTTGTCAAAGGGAAACAGCTCCCCTCCCCCCAATAGTAATAATATTCTATTCTTTAAAAATCCATTATTTCAAATATTTGGGCCCCAACAGATGTTATTCAGGAAGTTTTAAAATCTCTAAATCTGCCCAAACAAAATAAATGTATATTCAGAGTACACTTGATTACATCACAAGAGGGGCCACTTCTCTCTTTGAGCCAATTCAAAAAGTGTCCTCAAAATTCGGTGGCGCCCTCTTCGCAAAAGCGCACCTTTTGCGAACAGAGTTATCCTACTTGAGTTTAAAAAATCAAAGTGAAACTAGCAAGTTTTTGAATGAATTTCGGAAGAAAGCTTTTTTAAAATGGTTATGCTGACAAAAAACCTCTTCCGGAGGAAAGGGTGATTGCTTTCTTCGATTAATTTGACTTAAGAATGAAAGGCTAGAGGTCATTAAAATAAAAAACAACTAAAACTCCACACTGAACGAACCCGAACTGCTGATGAACAGCAGTCGATCTGCGCACACAAGGAGGTGCTATTCCTATTCTTCTTCTGGAAAAACGAAAGAGAGCTTCAAAACAGACTGCAGCGCCATCTGAAGCAAAGAGCGCACTTCCTGCGGACACTTTTTTGCCTGAGTGGCCCATCTTGTTATGTACTATCTTTGATTACATGTAATCATGGGTCTCAACTCAGAATTCTAAAAAAGGAGGAACTTTCCGGGTGATCGCCACAAAAGCCCATTTTCGCAAAACACCCATTATTATTACACTATACTATTGAATCCTAGAATGCAGAAATAAAACCCAATAATTTATCAAAGCAAGGTTATTTCACACCAATTTGAGGGTTTGGGAGATAATTTTAGAGTCACGTACAAAATATTTACAATCTTGACTACGTACAGAAAGTGCCTTGGGTCTTGTGCGACTTATTAATATTTTTCCCTTCATCATATTCGCCTGTGTATATATATATATATATATATAAACTATATAAAAATGAATCTTGTTTTGAGCCTAGAACCAGAATATCGACGGTCATGATTCATATCATAATATATATAGGCCTATATAATAAACGTGACAGACAAAAATTAATGCTCAAAGTACAGTAGAATAGCCCAAGTAGACCTATTCAGTGTGAGAGGAGTAAGAACTGTGGGAGGGCAAGATGCTGTGAAACTGAAAATCTGCGTATCTTGAACAGAAAGCTAAAATATAGAGATCTAATTTACTGTCACCAATCCAATAAAACGAGAACACTTAGGCCCCAAAGTTCCACAACACGCTTACAAGTTATGACGGTTCCCGTTTTCACACAAGGCCTGCACCAACGCACACTTTACTTTCTCTCTCTCTCTCTTCTGGTGCTGTGGCTTCATAAACGGTCAGCGATGCCGACAGCACGCAGGAACTCAACACTCGCCCGGGGGTCCTTAAAAAGTGCTGAAAGTGGGTTACTGAAATGTCCCAGCAGACGGGTTCTAGCACGATAGCTGGCGGGACACCTCAGGAACACATGTACCATAGTTTCGTCCTCCTCCTTGCAAGCTCGACAGGACGGATCTGGGTTGTCTGCTGGGGCAATTTTGTGGAGATATGATCTCAGCTTGGGCAATTTTCCACCAGTTCTCATTTGGGAGAGAAGCCGGCGGTCCTGTCGTCTGAGCGAGGCCTCAAGCTGGAATGACGGCAGCTGGGCAAATGGCAGTTTGGGTTTCGCCTCTCCTTTCCACTTTGCGCGGGTCGATCGGTGGATGACGGCTTTAGCTGTCGAGAAATCGATTGGCGTGTCAATCTGGGTAAGCGCTGTTGCTTCTTTGGCGATGCTGTCAACTTCCTCGTTCCCAGCCAGTCCGGCGTGGCCTGGAATCCACTGTAAGTGGATGGAACATTCAGAGCGTTGACAGAGGGTGTGCAGATGTTGCCAGATTGAGCAGGCCACCTTTTCCGATTGGTTGGTAGGGCGCATCTAGAATCAGTGTATACATGGATTCGTGCACTGTTGGGAGGGAAGGCTGCCTGCTGTATGTGTTGCCACAAGCATGTCAAGCGCTGTGTCGAGAGCTACAAGCTCGGCCCTGTAGCTGGAACAATACCGGCCCGCAGGTACATGTTGGTCGAGTTCGGTATCGCCGGTCTTGATCAGTATTCCACTTCCTCCATACTCAGTACCGTGCTCAGCTGAACCGTCAGTCCAGACTTCTACATCAGGCAGGGGGAGCGAACGAATTGTACCCTCTGCTGCTGCTTTCCTGACAGCTGGTTCATTAGCACGCTTGCAGTCGGCGACAAGATCGGTGCTAAAGACTTTACTTTGCAGAGAGCTGTAGTAGTAATCAAAATTCTAAACATAAAACATATTTGCTTCCAGTTTCAGTTTTTTTTTGTCTTCTGGTGTTGCGTCCAGCCCTCCCCCTATCCCCGAGTGCATCTTTAAAAAAAAAAAATAATCTCCCCCCATTCCTGAGTCCTGTACTTCGAAGCGCTCAGAACGCGCGCAGGTTCATTGACCGGTCACAATGGCGAGCCCGGCAAGACACTTCTATAACTTTCTTTTCTTCTTTTTGTTGCCCCCAAAAGTGGCGGCACAGAGACAAATATTGATTTATTTTCATGATGACACCACGTTTGTAATGCCAAACCTGCATGTTACAATAAATGTTGCGTTATCAGACAATTACTGACAAATTTCAGGGTGATAATGAAAGCCAAAGTAGATCTTGATTTTCCAGTCGAGCCTTGGTGACACAATTCCGCTTGCCGCAAAAACCACAAGTTCGCGCGAAACATACTCTCAGAGCCGAATTAATATCACAATCGCGACCGGTAGAAATGAACTTAAAGACGTTATTGGATTTGGTTTTCAAATATGAGATCTTTTATGTGTTTTCCCGGGTCTCGGCGATTTTTTAAAAATTCCTGGGACCTGGCAATCACCCTGCTCCCAACAACTCTCTTTCTGATTGGCCGGCTGTCGCGGCAGCGGAGTTTAGCGGAGGAAACGGCGGTAGCGGAAATCCGCTAAATAGCGGACTATTGAGACCCATGGTAATAAACAGCAAGCACCTAGGATATAGAGCATAAGGGGAAATAGGATTGATGAGAGGACAACTTGAAAAAGAAATTGGACATGTCATGGGTGGTAAGCATACACAATCTGACAGCAATGACAGTCAGGAAAGCACAAAGTAGCCCAGACAACTCAAGCTCCACAAAAAGGAGGGCTAAATAGCAGAATATTGAGACCCATGAGTAATCAGGCCACCATCTAAGAAAGCGAAAGTAGATCTTGAGAGTATCCAAGCCGGAATTCAAAATTGATACTACTTCAATTTTAGTAGAAATAATGTGCGTGAGTCAACTACTAGATCCGTATTGGTGTTTTAGAAAATAGCATTCCGAGTTCCCGGCGATAAAAAGTCCAATCGGTGCTTCCAAGCAAAAGAGATTGCAGATCCCCCCCCCCCACTCCCAAGAATTGGACACAACAACAAAAAATCAGAATACACACAAATGAAATCGGGAAAACCGAGATGCTTGAGATTCGGGTTAAAAAATCGGGACATCCCCGATAAAATTCGGATGAGTGGCAGGTCTGTATACGGAAATATTTAATGTCCACTTGACTGAAACTTAATTGTTCATAGTTTTGCTGAAATTGGTCAAAAGATGATAGAGCTATTGCCCTTTAATTAGGTCCTTTTTTTTTGGGACACCCTACATTTTGAGCTCTATTGTAAATACACACAAAGCATTCCCAATTGTGCGCCATCCTGCACAGAGCGCCAGTCAAATCTAGAATTTAGTGTGCAATTCTTCAAAGTCCTGAGCTTCGCAACTATTAAGTCCCAAAAGATGCTTCCACACACAGACTGTATAATGTGTCAAATGTAAATCCAGTCCCCCAATAATTAATGCAAAACTCAGTATTAGAACATGGAAAGGCGAACAAATACAACAAAAGCAACTGGCAAAAAGTGAACTTACTGACCTTATGTGAACAAGTTTTTGAAATTTTGGAGAACACAATTATGTTCCAGAGTCAATTTAGAGACTTCCTTATATTCCTGGAGCATCATGGGGTCTCCATGATTTTATACAAATTCCTGGGTCATTCCCAGGACCATTCAATTACCTACAGTCACCTTGTTTGTTACACTCGGCAGATTAAAAGAAAAAAATTCCCACAAGGCTATGCAGACATTACTTCACTATAATTAAAACCTGGTACTTACAGCCCGTTTGAGATCTGTTTTCAGATTGGTCAGTCGACCTTCTGATGACATCATGTTGGCCAGCTTCTGTTTGATTTCTCGTATCTCAACTTTGTTCTTATCCTGTAGGTGAAACTCATAACTATTAATATACTTCACATCACTGAAAACAAATCACTGTAATGAAATAAATTAAAACATGGAAAAGCAAAAAAGAAAAAGAACAATAACAAAAACCCCAACAGCACTAAATGTCAAGGTACAAATGTAGTTAAACCTATCCATTGCCAAGGAGCGAAAGTGATCAATTCAGACAGGAGGTCATTTTGGACAGTGTCATTATAATATAGACATAAATGCAAGAGGGGGAAGTGGGAAGTAATCTTTTGTACAGATGATTGTATTGGACAAGTAGTTGTTAGAGCAGGTACAACTATACACGTAGCAACGTGACATACGAAGACAAAAATGCAAGTATAGATTACATTAAAAGAACTCAAGACTTGTATTACAAAATCAAATACAGACTGACGTAACAAAGATTGCAGGCCGGGAAGATCAAAGCTCATCTCTGTCCGAAGCTGTGTCCCTATGAAAGGCACTTTATACAAATTTTTCCATTTGGCTCATCCGTCCTGTCATAGATGGTTGCTAAATTCAGAGGTATGTCTGTTTGCTAAATACACCTTGCAGTGCTACATGGGGGCGTTAAACCTATACATATTTTGCAACGGAGTGGCCGAAAAGTTTTACACAATTAAATACAGGCTGACATAACAAAGAACAAGTGATCTCAAAGTTTTTACACAATCAAATACTGGCTGACAACACAAAGATCAAGTGGTCTCAGAGTTTTTAAACAATTAATTACTGGATGATGTAATAAAGAATGAGTGGTCTCAAAAGGTTACCATATTGTCTCGCTTCATTTTCTCACTGTTCTCCAGTTTGGCCTTGCTCTCCCTCAAACTGTCAACTTTCTCTTGAAGTTTTTTCTCCTCTTCTTCGTACTCCTCCTATAAAACAAGAAAACATGAGAAATCAGAGCTGACTTATCCCATATTTTTAAGGTCAGAATCATTCTGATTGCTTGAACAAGTCTGTTATCCCACTGACAAGATTCTAAAGTGAGCATGTTAACTCACTCGCTGCCAGGTACTTACGGTTCAAAGTCTGAAGAGTGCCAAGCGTTTTGGCCCCTATATCAATAATGATGCAAAATGGCAATAAATATTTTTATAGTCTTATAGTCTTTTGCAAACGTGTCACAATTTCGGAAAAAAACAACCTAAAAATGTTGCCAGGTTTGTTTGCTATCTTGCCAAATTGTATTTCGGGTCGTCCAGGGAAAAAAATCAAAATTTCATTCAGTTATCAAGGGATGTAGCTCAAACAATGTTCAATCGACTCAAAAACGTCAGAAGTTACATACCCTAGAAGTCCAGAAACACATCACGTAAGAGTAAAAAAAAAAGGAAAAGGAAACTCAAACGCAAGGGGTTTTAGTAATTGCAGGGTCCCATCTATTGATTTTACCCGAAACCCCTCAGGTCTAGCAGCAAGTTAGTTACCAACTACCAACAAAAAAACGTGGTCGACAGTTTTAGCAGTGATACACTATGTGTTGTGAATTTATTGAGACATGTGGAAAGTATAAGTGAATCAGACAGTGGGCAGTTCCACAGAATGCTATAAGCGTGTGAAATTCCCCATATCAGATCAGAAAAACCTGAAGACTACACAGACTACCTTGACCGTTAAATATTAGCTCACTGACTACGGTTCCCATCACAGATACAGGACGGGAGGCTGGTTCGCTGATACGGATCCCGTAGCTCCGATGGGATGGACTTTGCGCTCTTGTCCTGAAACTTGTGCTCCCGTCACTTGTACAGAAACGAACTCCAGTGCTAGTTTTACCACTTCTTTCGTTTCGGGCCGAGTTTGGCGGAAGAAGCGTGGTAACTTTTAAAGAAATTGAAGGAGAAGAACAGTCACCCCAACAGGGGTTGGACAGACCGAAACTATCGCTATGTTTTTTCTATACAATTGATAGTAACTTGATAGTCGCGTCGAAGTAACGGTCGAAGAAGTTGCACGAAGAAGAATCAGATAATTTCGCTGTTTTTGATACTTCTGTCTGTCTTACTAGTTCTAGTAATCAGAACATGTGTGTCTGATAGTTGGGACCCTGGACATTACCCGAACACAGCCCCGAGTCGTAGTTTTAGGACTAGATCAAGCACTAGTCTACTGGTGCTGTTGTTAGCACAACGAAATCACAACTCAGTGCCCTACATCTGTCTCATGTATCAGGGTGTCCAGCAATATTTCCTGAAAAAATTTACTACTTGGAAAAAATTTTTTACTACTCAGCAAATCAAGCCCCAGACCAGCTCGAAATAGGGAGTTCATTTGCGCCATCAATAACGTAATATTACATAATATAATATATGAAAATGAAAATAACACACAACAAAGTCCAGTCGACAAAATGGAGGATAGACAGACACTCGCATGCCGCTAGATTTAGTATTAGTTTTAGTAAGGTTTTTACAGCACTCGCAACTGCATAAGTTTTTATGAGCACAAAGGGGTGGACGTCAACAGAGAAGTCCAAACGCGGAATCGAGCTTGCTCTGCTCACCTCTTTAGCTTAAACAGCACAAAGTCTGCTTCGGGGCTCTCGTGGCCTAGAGGTTAAGTCATTCGCTACGGCGAGCCGTGGGCAGCGGCGCAGCAAAAGTGTCTTCCATATGCCAAGCCGCTCCCGGCGGCTCGAGCGCCGACCTTTAATTCTCGCATAGATTTTATTCCAATCCATGTATCCATGTTGAAATAACGGTTATAACATAGACTTCCGGGTCAAGCGTTTCCACTGAAAATCCGAAGTTCGGATTCAGTTTTGAAATGCGATTTCGTAGTTTATGCGATTTTTTTTAGCGCAATGCCAAAATTATAGCCCAGATACCAGTCCCAGTACTTTTACACAACAAAATGTTTCATTATTTTGCTCACTAAAGAAAAGCAGGACTCTTCTTTATAATATTGATACTATTGGGACTCAAATTGCCAATGCACTGTTATTGAGAAATCAATATTTTTGAGTACTAGATCTAGGTCTAGATCTAAATTGTCAAAATATTTTTTTCCTCCCCAAAATCACTCATTTTTTGTGAAATTACACAAAAAGTACCACTCAAGACTATAGGTTTATTCCAAAAGCAATTCTGAATAAATCCATATAAGATACGAGAGCTCTTTTCGGATGTTATGATTCAAGTGTACAAATATTATGGAATGTTTGTAAATAACTGCAAATTTTCACTATTTTCCAGTGCTCTATTCATTTATGGTTATTTTGATGTATCATTTGACTAGGTGCAAACATATTTTTTGAGTTTCACCAAAGATTATTTATTTTTTATTTTCAAATTTTATCAGCATCCAATCAAAATTGTGTTGAATAATCGCTTCTTACAGGAACCAAAGTTGAAAAGTACACAAATAAACATTATAGATGTATTTGACAAACCATACTGAAAATTTTGGTATATAATATGTTGATATTTCTTTGAATTATTGGCCCCAAAGACCTTTGAACTGCACACTAGTCACCATCTCTTTTCGCCCTCCCGAAAAAAATTCGTCCACAAGCCGAAAAAAATACATAGTGAATGAGTTGAGGGGAGGAGCAACCCTTGGTTTTGCAGATTTTGGGTCAGGCTATGCAAATTGAGATGCTGGCTGCTTTTAAAAAATGACTCAGTTCCTTGTCAAAAAATACAATGGAGACAATTGAGAAAGTATTTATTCTCCTCGTAAATTGCCTTTGAAAACATGGGGGTGGGTTAATGTAGTGAATTTTCACAATAATTGTCGTTTTTCTAAAAATGTAATTTTTGGCATTTTTCCCCCTACACCTTCCTTAGTTTTCATCCTTTTGACACGAAACTTTCAGGAAACAGATGCCATCAATGTAAAAGCAATTACGTAACCTAACTTTAGAAAAGGTTTTTTATACTTCAGGAAATTTCTCATATTTTTTTCTTCTTTTGCACTTTTTGAAAAAAAAAAACTCGCTGTTACGCTGATAGGGTGTGGTTCAGGTATACTCTCACCAAATTTTTTCAAATTGTGGTCCGTAAATAAGAAGTCTTAGGGATTTGAAATTCATTGTTTATTTTCAAGATGGTGGCCATTTCCAAAGCAACCGCTGTAACTATGCCAAAAGAAAATTGCGTATCAAGAGATTTTACTATGCCTGACTTATATGTGTACTTAGATTTGATCTCTGGCAACAAACAGAAAATGGTCCTCAAGGGTAGCTCCTCCCGATAAGGCGTTCTCCTCTCATTCAAAGGTCACGGGTTCGAATCCGGGTAGCAACCGAAAAATTTTCTTCTTCAAAATTGTCTCGTTTCACCTCCTTTCCAGCTCTCTAGCAATGTCCTGTCGTCTGCTTTCGTCTCCACTTTTCTGCCCCCCACCCTCCTTGGCCATCTCCTCTCGGCTCCTGACTCTCTGCTGCCTTTCTACTGCTACTCCCTGGCTCGTTACTGCTGTCTTTCAGCCACACCCCTGATCTTCTGGTAGGAAAGATCTACACCTAGCCTTCTCGGAAAAAGGCAAAAAATCTCAGAGGTCCCGTGTGCAAGTAGCGCACGTTAAAGATCCCTTGGCGGTCTAAAATCAGTTAGAGTAGGCTTCGGCCCCCACCCGGGCAAAATTCGAAATTTCCTACCAGTCTTGAACAGAAAGCTACGTCATAGTTATAATTTACTATCACCCATCCAATGAAACGCGAACACTTTAGTTCAGTAACACGGATTACAAGGTATGAAGGATCCCGATTCCACATGCGGCCTTCATCAACGCAGAGAGCTCTCTCTTCTTCTTCTTCTTGATCGCATCCCACTTGAAGGCTGGTATCAGTCATAAATAGGGCTGTCCTGCTCAGTTCATCTGTCGGCCTGTAAAGCTTCTCTACAGAGAGCTCTAAATCTAATCAAAATTATGAAATTTGCTTCCAAGTTTTTGTCCTCTGGTGTTGCCTTCAGCACTCCCCCCCCTCCCAGGAGTGTATCTTTAAAAAAAATAAATCAATAATCCCCAGCCCCATCCTGTAGTCCTATACAGCGCAACGCTCAGACTTTGAATGAATTTTGATGACCCCAACAAACAACGGTGCTCACACTATGCCGTAGCCTATCCTGTGATGCGAGCGCACGCAGGTTCACTGACTTGTCACGATGGCGAGCCCAGCAATCTAAAAATCTGACAACGCTTGTATTTTCTTTTCTTTTTTTTCCCCGCACAAGTGACAGCACAGTGACGAGTCCGAGTATTAATTAAATTTTATTTACGCAGCGACGTAGCGTTTATACTGCACAACCTGCACGTCACAAAATAATGTTGCGTTATCAGTCTATCCCCGGAAATTTCTGGGTGGTAACGAAGGTGAAAGTTGATCTTGATTTTCCCGATTGAGCCTTGGTGTCAAATACACTTCCGCCTGCTGCCATAGCCACCTGTTTGTATGAAACGTACTCTCGGATGGGGAAAAGCTGAACGAATATTATAATCGCGACAGGAAAAAGGAGCCTAATGACCTTATCGGATTTGGTTTTCAAATATTCGAGTTCCGCGATACTGATACTACTCAAAGATCGTTGTACTATTTTGACAAAAGATCGGACTTGGTAATCGCTGAGCACCGTGGCTATGACTCCGTTTACAGAAAAGTCTTGCTGGCCTCATCACTCTGTACGCAGTTTAATTTACGACCAATAACCAAATGTTTACTACCTTCACAGCATATTTACTACCATTTACGACCAGGGTGTGAATTTTTTTTTTTTTTTTTAAAGGCTTTACGACCTTGCTGGACACCCTGTGCAATTCAGTGCATGGGTCTGAATAAAGGCACAGACCAGCTTTTATATTTTCACCATACACTCACACATGCATACAAATCAAAACAGAATGCTCTGAACTTTTATTTTAGTTTTCGTTGTGAATTTCATTCTATCTGTCACGTCCTGGGAAATTTTTTGGAAAATCAAATTAATGCCAATTTTTTTAAAAGCATAAAAATTAAAGTTTAGACTCAGACAAATTTATCTTTTTGGTATTAGATTAAGCTTGATTGTAACTTTATTGTGTCAAAAAATATTTACAATAGGGTAATTTTGAGAGTTGTGGTGTTTTCAAATACTCAAAAAAATGCCAGTATTCAGTGCTAGTGACTGGTGAAAGGGCCCAGTAGTCAATGAGTTAAAGTTCAGAATACGAAAAGAATACAATGAGGTAATTCTGTTAGTTCATCAATATCTCAAACCTTTTTCTTCCTAGCTTCATCCATCATGATCTGCAATTTTTCCTTCAGCTCTTTGAAAAATTGGCCATATTTAGAGTCCGATATCTCTCCAGCACCCTCAAATCCTGAAAGAGATCAAAGTTGTAGAGCATAGAAAACAGACTTATTATGTTCAGCAGACATATTCATAACTGAAGAAATCTGAAATCTTCAAACATGAAATGAAAGGAAGCATGGATTTTAGGACTTAAACAAAAGCCGTTAGCCAATCATTCGTAAGCAATCACTGACAACTGACACAGATAACCCAAGATTTCTACCTTCAAAGTTTGTACACATAGACAATTAGACCAAACGTTAACAACACAAAGGTCTTTACCTTCAGAGTTGAACTCTGAGCAGGTTACAAGTATGGTCAATTTGCTCAGAGTTGAACTCAAGTATGGTCAATTTGCCCAACTCATGACTGCACTAGCAAAATGCCACATGTCATTTTTGTTACTTTTGAGACACAGGGAAAAAAACCAACAACTGTTTAACTAGACTACTTATCATCTAATAATGGTAAAACTTGCCATGCATGTTACTTTTGTGACTGCTGGTGCATTTTTGTTTTGAATATACCAAAAGATAGATATAGTAGCACCAAACAAAAAAAAAGGCATTTGCATTTTGGCACAACTCTGAATTATGCCATTTTGATAGCACTGTGACAAAATGCCAATGTAGAGACACACAAATCTTCACCTGTAAAGTTGTATTCTTCGGCCATCTCCCGGACTTTAGCATCCCTTTCTTCGATCTTTTCACTGTTGGTCTGAAACAGGAAGAGAACACAATAGACAGGTTGGTATTGTTACAGAGCTGTCCACAATAACACATTATATTATTTCACAACAAAAAGAAAATGTTATACACAAATACAACTTAATCATACTGTATGAATGTATGTTCATTGCCAAAGAACAGGCACAATAAAGACTATGTTTACAGACATAAAGCAAAACTCATCTTATCCACGTCATGCACATGTATCCACTTTGTCAGGAATGAGCAAAATAAAGACCATGTTTAGAGACATTAAGCAAACTCATCTCTCTCTACCATGTTGTACACTTGTGTGCTTTTTCAAAGATCAGGCACAATATAGACCATGTTTACAGGCATAAAGCAAGCTCATTTCTCTTATATATTCTCACTTCTGCCTCTTGTTGCAGTTTTCCCGACTCCACCATCAGCTTGTTGGTTTCTTTCTCAAACCGGGCCAGCTCAGACGTCAGTTCATCTTGCTTCCTATTGCACTGAAATATATCAAAAGTCACTGAAAAAAGTTAATAACACAGTCCACTTGTTTTATAAAGGTTTTACGGTGCTCACAACTGCATAAGGTCAAATGAGCGCCAAGGGGTGGATGTCAACAGAGAAGTCCAAGCAGGGAATTAGGCTTACTATGCTCACTTCTCTAGTTTCAACAGCACAAAGTTTGCTTTGACTATCAAGGGACCCCGGAAATAGCAGTTCACAAGAGAGTGACAAACATACAAAAGAAGTAGAGGGAAAATGACGATAGTAAGGATCAGAAAAGAAAAAGCAGCAGTTCCCCTTATGTTGTCCCAGCACAGTATGAGCATGACATTGATAAATCAGCCCATTTACAATTTTACTGTGCATAAGAACATGTTAATATCCCCCCCCGGGAATGGCCTAAAGACAACTTCAGTCAGTAGCACTGCCCTAGTCGGGTGTAACAGAGTCCGAATAAGTACCACTCTTTTAAGGCCCAGAAAATATTTAAAGTCACACGGAAAATTTAATAACAGTCCACATAAGAATTACAGCAGTTAAAAAAACCCCACAACCATTCATAGACTAGACTATGATCACAATCATTTGCTTGAGTACACCAGTTTATAATTATACAGAAAACATAGCAAGAATGGACACAGTAACACCACTGCATTAAGTCATATCCACAAAGAAATATCAACACATCCACAAAGAGGAAACACCTGTAAAAAATCTTGAAATGTTAGGAACATTGACAGTGTAAAAACCTACCTCTTGTAACTCTCTGTTCTTGGCTTGGACCTGAGTGGAGAATTGCTTCAACTGTCTCCTCAGTTCTTCTGTTGTGCCTGAGACATGGGAACCCAAAGGTATCATTATGTAGCAACTCTTTATTCTCACAAGAGGTATGTGTGCAGGTTAATTTGCTCTCGATTTGCAATATCAGGCTTTCATTTCAGCTTGTCTCAAATAGGAAATAGTATGACACTGTGTAAAAAGGTGTAAGAACTGTTGGAGGGCAAGATGCAATGACACTGAGAAAGTGTGAATCTTGAACAGAAAGTTAAAATATATAGATATACAATACATGTAATTTACTATCACCCATCCAATGAAACGCAAACCCTTTAGTTAAAAACTCGGCTTACAAGGTATGAGTATGACGAATCCCGATTCTACACAAGGCATGCATCAAAGCACTCTTTGCAGAGAGCTCTGGGGGCTCTCATGGCCTAGAGGTTAATTCAAAGGTCCCCAGTTTGAAGCCGAGTAGTGACTGAAGAATTTTCTTCGCTAAAATTATCTCCTTTCCTGCTCTCTAGCAATGTTCTGTCGTCTGCTTTCGTCTCCACTTTCTGCCCCACCCCCTCACCTCCTTTGCCCCCTCCTCTGGGTGCTGACTCTTTCTGCAGCCTTTCTACTGTTTCTCCTTGGCTCCCTTTTAGTGCTTCCACCAGCTGAAGCTGAAAAGTAAGTCAGGGACAGAGTCCTGGTGGGGGTTCAGGGGGCGAAGCCCCCGAAGAAATTGAAATTTAGTGCTTTTAGAGGGTAGAAAATGGCATTTGGGAGCCTTTTTGAAGATATTGCCTTCAGCCCATAATATTTATTTTTTCACCAACATTTTGTCTTGTTTGACTTCATCACCAGCATATCTTTCCAATGCTGGAAATGTTTAAAAGCAGGTTCCCCTTTCATTGCTACTATAATTCAATTAATTTGTAGTCGCACCATTGACAGCAGGCAAACCTGGGAATAATGAATAGGTGTACCTTCAAAATATGGTTGCACAGCGTATACCCACATTTTTTCTAAATTTTCATGTCTGAAAGTCGCCTGTCACAACCTCGGAACACCACCTTGAATTATTCTTGATTTTATACGGGGTGCTCACTATGGACGGGATCGGCCGATAGGGCCGATCGCCGGACTCGATAGCCTCAAAAACAAACGTGTTTGTTTTCAGTTTCAAAGCAAACACGGTTGTTGGACCGAGTCGGGCGATCAGCGGAATCGCCCGATCCCATCCGTAGTGGGCACGCCCGTGTATCAGCATATATTTTTTTCATCGCGGCCCTTATATTGCGTTCACGTGCCGTAGAATCTTCGAATTGATCACTTCTCTAGACCTAGATAAAATTTGCGAAAAAAGTTTCTTTCCGACAGTAACTTTCTGTCTAAGATCAAAATCAGTCTTGATCAATGCGCAGATTTTCCAGCCGCGGCAACAATCCGAAGATAGACAGAAGGAATGAGTGAATGACAGAAAGGAAGAAAGTGGCACAAAAGACTCGCCAGACTTTGATCCATCTGCAGGTAAAAAATGTACTGCCGACCAACACACAATGAATGCATGGGACTGGGACATAGCGGTATAATGTCCGATTGCAGGAAATGCACAATTTGGTAGGTTTCTATAACGTTAACTTGTTGCCGAGAGAATTACCGTAAATATCCGTAACTTATACAAGACGATACGAAGGCGAGTACGGACTTTCAGCAGTCCTGCACTGTCGCAGTTTTTTTACGGAGGGAGTTGATAATGATGGAGGGACAAGTACGGAACTGGCAGAAAGTACGGATTTCTGTAAAAATACGGAAGAGTGGAAGCACTGTTTTTACTATCTTTCAGCCACACCCCTGATCTTCTGGTAAGAAAGATCTACACCTAGCCTTCTCAGACAAGGGCGAAAAATCTTGGAGGTCGCGTGTGCAAGTTGCGCACGTTAAAGATCTCTTGTTGGTTTAAAATCGATAAGAGTAGGCTTCGGCCGCCACCCGCGCAAAATTCAAAATTTCCTTCCAACTGAAAATGTTTAATGTGTCCCGCGTGCTCATATGACCGTATGCAGTTGCGAGGGCCGTAAAACACTTACAAAAAAAAAAAAAGAGAGAGAGAGAGAGAGAGAGAGAGAGACAGAGACAGAGAGAGAGAGACAGAGAGAGAGAGAGAGAGAGAGAGAGAGAGAGAGAATAGTAATCAAAATTCAAAATACTAAAATTTGCTTTCAATTTCAGTTTCTGTCATCTGGTGTTGCTTTCATTCAACCCCATCCCCCTCCCCCAAGTGTATTTTTTTTAAAAATCAATAATCCCCTCATTCCGGAGTCCTATACTTCCCAGCTTTGAATGAACTTTGGTGACCCCAACAATCGCCGGTACTCACAATGTGATGCGAACAGGCAGGTTCACTGACCGGTCACGATGGCAAGACCAACAAGATGCTCGTATAGACTTTCTTTTTTCTTTCCTCACAAGTGAGAGCGCAGGAAAAATATTGATTTATTTTCATGGCAACACAGCGTTTGTAATGCACAACCTGCATGTTACAAATGTTGCGTTATCCAGACTACTACAAAGAAAGGAGCTAGCCTCCTTCAGCCTGAAATTCCTACGAATTACACCACCTGCTGCCAAATGATCAAGTCAAACCTCAAGGAAGAGTGGATGAATGATTGGGCCACAGGTACGACAGGAAGGAAGATGTATGGCCACATGAATTAAACCACTGGTCAAAGATCCAATCAATGAGTTGAGGAGGGGAGATCAATCCATAATCTTCCAACTTAGAACACAACATGTACCCCTCAACCAACATCTCAACCGAATAGGAGTAAAGCGGTCTGCTGCCTGCCCACTATGTGACTACCCCTCAGAGACAGTGGAACATCATCAGTTATGTAGAAAACTAACTGATTTAAGGGGATGTTTTCTTCCCAAGCTACCCCACACATCTAATTGCCTCTACTCCTCAAGACAACAATTAGAACAAACATGCAACTATTACCGAATGGCATCATGCAGAAGAGTTAACGCTCAGATGCTACTGGATCGCTAACAACAACAACATCAGACAACTACCAGCAAATTTCTGGGTTGGTAACGATGGCGAATGTAGACCTTGATTTTCCCGATCAAGCTTCAGTGTCACGCATACACTTCCGCTTGGTGCCATAGCCGCCTGTTCGCGCTAAACATACTCTCAGGCCGGGAAAAGCCGAATGAATATCACAATCGCAAACGGCAAAAATGAATCCAAGGACACAATCGGATTTGGTTTTCAAATATTTGAGAACTTTTATGTATTTTCCTGGGGCAATTTACAGATTTCCTCAAATTCCAGGGGCCCGGCAGTCACCCTGATAATAATCAGATACAAAATGTTCAAGAAAAAATGTATCAAATTATAAACATAAACATGAAACACTATGACATACATAGTAACAAGAGTGGACTACACATTCGTACTCCTCCCTTTAAAGGAGGCATTACTGAAACAACTTCTCAAATATATTACCTGTAAATTCTTCTTCTATCTTGGCGGACAGTTCTTGTATTGTGTTTTCGATCTGCTCTTTCTCACTTTCATATTTATCTGGAATTAAATATACAAAAAAAGCCTAAGTACACCTCAAAACATCTAATAATAAGCAAGTAAGAGACAGTATTTTAACCATGTCAATGAACTAAACATTTTCATTCAAGAAACGAATAGCCAGGGTCTTGAACAAGCTAAAAGGAAAAAAAACCAGCACAGTTATCTTGTGGTCACTTTAATTCTAATGACAACTAACATAGGATATTATTGCACTTAACTCTCTCTGGACGACAAACAAAAACTAGGGGTCAGTGTATCACACTTTTCATTTTCGATAACTATAACTATGGTCAGTATATCACACTTTTCATTTTCGATAACTATAACTATGGTCAGTATATCACACTTTTCGTTTAGATAACTAAAACAAGGGTCAGTATATCACACTTCTAATTAAATAACTAAAACAAGGGTCAATAAATCACACTGCTCCCTTTGGATAACTAAAACAAAGGTCAGCATATCGCACTTCTCACTTAGAATAACTGAAACTAGGGTCAGTAAATTACACTTTTCCATATTTTATAACTAAAACAAGGGACGGTATACTACACTTTTCCATTACATTTTTCTCTCTGCACAACAGACAAACAGTAAGGACAGTACATTTCACTTCCCATAGAAACATCTCAGTGACTACTAAATTAAGGGTTTAAAAGGATATGTATGGTTACCTCTTCTATACAGTTGTGAAATGCTGAACAATTACCAAAGATAGTGAAAATAAAATAAAAGCAACAGAAATGTGGTTTCTTCAGAGACTTGTGCATTCCATGGAAGGAAAGGAAAACAAATGAGGAAGTACTGAAAGAAGATTAAGTAGGCCGCTCATTAATTAAAACAATAAAGAAGCAACAAATACAGTTTCTGGGACACTCGAACCGACATAAAGGCTTTGAACATCTTGTTATCACTGGAAATATAAACGGCAAAAAGAGAAAGGGATAAACCCAAAACAACTTTTCTAGAAAACTTGAACTGATTGGTGATGAGAAAACACCAGGATATAGATTTTTTTAGAGCATTTGAGAGAAGAGATGCATGGAAAGCCAAGATCACCAATGTCTGTTCCAGATCTGGCACTTGATGATGGATAATGTTACCCTTCTCTCTAAAACAAAAAACAACTAAAGACTACAATATGTTTACACTTCTCTCTGTGGGCAACTTACAAAAACTTAAAGATACTATATGGCAGGTTTCACAATTTTATGCGCACTGAGGTGGTGAGATGTTTCAATGCCTATAAAATTATGTTTTGTTGAAATCAACAATTTTTCAAACTGTGTTTGTGTTGTTTGCTTCAAATAAACTAGAAAACCATTAAAATTTTTCATTTTTTGATTGTTCATTTTTTATGACTGATCTTAGGCTGTCTATCGTCACTTTTCAGAAGGACACCATTTCCCATTTTCTAGGTCTAGTCAGATAGCTCATCTGGATAAGGCCAAAAACTCATATTTCCACAAAAATGTGTAGAATTTTGAAAATAGCCTTGAAAAGTTGTTACAACAGCAAATCTGAAGCCTACATGTCCTTAGACCTAGGCTAGGGATCGATAATAGGGCGGTATTTTTTCCACACCTGTCCATCTGAATTAAGATGCTCTCAAAATGCCTTCTAAGCCTACCTTTCTATATGAAGTCTGTGAAAAACTTGCCCCCATGTGAAACTAACACTTATTCTGAGCGTGTAATTTGAAAAAAGTTCGTTTTTTTGTCATAGGTTAAGAAATTATGGGCCGATATATCTCACGTGACCGTGTCCGTCCGACAGAAAATGGCGATCGACCGCGAACAAAGAAAGCTATTATCGATACCACGTGACGGAAAACTATAATTCTTTCCTTGTTCCCGTAATCGCGGGGACGGATACTTTATATTCGCTGCTGGCCTGGACTTCTTGTGTGAACGGTTCGTCCGCAATTGGGTTTAGAATGTTGTCCATCCGATGGCAATCGACCTACTGACGATCGACAAGAATGTTAGTTTTGCGTAAATATTCCGCATTTTCTTATCAAGTCAGAGTTTCTGATAATGTTTCGTGTTTATTCATTCAACTTTGATATAAGACTAGATGAAAAAAAACAAGAATGGAGTAAATAAAGGGAATAGTAAATCATCCCGATCAAAAGAACATCGTAAACGCGCAATTTGAGTCGAACATTCTAGATTCGGATGGACATTCGCAGTCGATCGCGCTGATGGTAAAAAATGCACTGAAGTTTCATGACGGATTCGGAAGGACGTGACATCGCATGGCGTCGGATAGAATGTGTTTGCACGTTTCAGTTTCGCGTGGGTTATTTATTGTTGATCTTAATGTAATTTCGTTCCTTTAACCAAAAAAAAGCAATTTGATGATTTGAAAGGAGGAATATTGGAATTTTGACAGACTTTTGAGGTGAAAAATAGAGCTTGATCTAGATCTAGATCTAGGCTACATTATCTACATTCTTCTAGATCTAGATCATTTGTGGGTAATTTTTTTGGCACTTTTTACTATTTTTAACTACAGCTTGGAGGGCAATTTCAGTCTGTTCTTTCTGTGTTGCTAAGTTAGGGTCTAGGCACCCCTACAATCAGTCTTGGTGGAGTTTGGACTTGGGGTTATAAATTATTTACTTTTTTTTTTTGCTTTTTTTTTTTGCAGGCCATAGATACGAGGGCTGTCCCACGGAAAACCGGAAAAGGTCCGTAAAAGCACAAATCTTTGTCCTATTATAATAAAAGTGTAACACATCATACCTCAACATGTGCTTTATTTCTCAATGTAATCACCATCTCGCTGGACAACCCTCCCTGAAGAATCTTTCGTCAAGGGATTTCAACCAATCGTTCACGGCTTCCACGAGGTCTTCGTCGTCGGTGAATCGCTGTCCAGAAATATGGCGTTTCATTGGTTCAAAAAGGTGATAATCTGACAGGGCCAAGTCAGGACTGTGAGGGGGGTGTAGTAGAACTTCCTAGCCGAACCTTTGGAACCAGTCTTTCGGGACGTTTGCGGTGTGTGGCGTTGTGTTGCCATGCTGCAAAATGATTAACCCCGCTGGTCTTTTTCGGCCCCAACCCATCAAGCAGAGACCTTTCAATAGTGCAGCTCATCAAACTCTATCCTATAGACAGTCGACTTTGAAATGTTTAGCGACTCGCAAATTTTGCGAATTTTTAGGCGCCTGACTGTTTGAATAAGTTCGTTAACGCGATTCTTGTTGTCCTCAGTCTTGGCAGAAAAACAAGATCCTGAGTAAACTTTGTCATTGATATCGGAGTGCCCGGCTTTGAACTTACTACATTACTCATATACCTGTGACTTTGCCATTACTTTCTCCCCATAAACTGACTTTATTTCAGTGTGTATTTCTAGAGGTTTGAGACCTTTTGCGGTCAGAAACCGAATGACAGACCTCACTTCTACCCTTGACCAATTTTCCAAGGGGGTAGCTATCTTTTGAGAACTGCTGTGCTCGTTTGGTTTGTGCGATGCTCATGGTGCTCAATCGGGAAATTTCTAAATGATTGTTTTACAAGTGTGCGTTTACAGAATGTGAAAATATTGAATAGTTTTCAAATTACAGCCAAATTCCGGTTTTCCGTGGGACAGCCCTCGTATTATAGATTTCTTTTCTAAATATTTTTCAATTTTAAAGCATTTGATACTAGATCTAGAATAAAGAGTTCACCTACATGTTAATTTCTACACCTTTGCAGGTGAGATCATGTATAAGGCCAATGAAACAATGTTCACAGACTTTTTTTTACCCCTTTGCAATTTAGATGTATGCTAGAAAAGAAGAGTACATTGTACATCATTTGTCTACTCCTTTCATTTGCAGATCAGGTCCTTCTTGTTGAGGACTTTACCAAGAATAGAAAAAACAACTTACCTTTATGTAGTGAAGTCTGCCCACTTCTGTAAGAGGCAGATGACACTCTATCCAGTAGTCTCTCATTACAAAAATGACGACAACCGACTCATGACACACACAATGAATATATTCATACCAGACAACATTACCGATGATTTCAACATGGTTAATCACCTGACAGTAGGACTTGACAATGTGACAAAACTGAAAGACCCCCACTTTCAAACTCACATCTCTGCTATACAAATAATGTGAGGCACCGTGGTGAAATCAAGCACTTGTCAAAATAGTGAAATCGAAGGAGCAGGCAATTTTCTGCTAGTGTTAGACAGTTTTTATGAAAATTTTGTTTTTTGGCTCAACGCCTTTTATGCCTTCAGTCGCAAATATTTTGACTTCTCCTCGAGATTAATGGGTATTATTTTCATTGAAAGCAAGACAAAAATAATTAAGCTTTCAGATGGTACCAATAACCCCGCATGTCCAAAATTCGAAGGTCTGATCCGACCACGTCATGACACATTTATTTTTAATTTTAAGCCTTCCTGAGGATTTTATTGCTTTTGTGTTTCTTTTCTGTATTCAATTGCCAGTTCAGTGATGTGTGGTTTTATTTGTATAAATAAGGGATTTACGCGTATTTCTGATAACCCCCCCTGATATCACGAAAATCTCAAAATTACTCTGCTTCTGAGGCAAAATAATGCACCTTTCCAAGGGTTAAAGTACACAGTGTTCTCTTTTTTACCACACACTGTTACTTAATATTCATTTCCCATTGGTTTTCTGTGTTTATGTGATGTATTTTTGGCAAAATAACCTTTCAAATGATATTTTTCCAATTTTCACGGGAGATAACCCAATAATTAAAAATTATTGTTTTGCCTCTAACTTGGGTATCTTTCTGTGAATTTTCGTAAAAACCTGTACTTTAGTACATTTTAAATTACTTTTTCATATTACAAAGAGCTCAGGAAAGTTTTGTGCTTTGTTTGACAATTATAGAATACTATACTTAATTTTTTATTTTAACTGCAGGGTTATGTAACAAATTGAGTAATCTGGGTATAAATCTTAGGTTTCCAGCTTTTTTTCTTCCTATGTAAGCTGTTTGGGTGTTCTTCGGTGGATTGTGAATATTTTTGTGTTATATTTGTGTAGTTTATGTGATTTACAGAGAGATTTCAGCAAGCTTCTTCATTTAGTGAGAATCAGGGGGAGTTAACTTTGAAGGTCTCTTACGCACACTGCAATGAGCTGACGCTCATAAAATATGAATTTCTAGTATCCTGAAATGTTAAACTTTCAAACAGTATATCATATGTCATGTTCTGTAACACTTCATATTTGGTCAATTTTGGGAAATGCTGAGCACCCAAATTGTGAAACCTGCCATATTTCACTTCTCTCTCAACAACAAAAACCTAGGACACCACGTTTAACTTCTCTCTCTCTCGATAACAGACAAATACTAAGGGCAGCATATTACACTTCTCTCCCTAGTAGCTAATTTCTCTCTGAGGGTAGCTTACATTGAGGACATTATATTACACTTTTCTCCCTGAACAGCTAAAATTAAGGACATGACATTAAACTTCTCTCCCTGTATAGCTAAAATTGAGGACATGACATTAAACTTCTCTCCCTGTATAGCTAAAATTAAGGACATGACATTAAACTTCTCTCCCTGTATAGCTAAAATTAAGGACATGACATTAAACTTCTCTCCCTGTATAGCTAAAGTTAAGGACATGACATTAAACTTCTCTCCTTGTATAGATAAAATTAAGGACATGACATTAAACTTCTCTACCTGTATAGCTAAAATTGAGGACATGACATTAAACTTCTCTCCCTGTATAGCTAAAATTAAGGACATGATATTAAACTTCTCTACCTGTATAGCTAAAATTGAGGACATGACATTAAACTTCTCTCCCTGTATAGCTAAAATTAAGGACATGACATTAAACTTCTCTACCTGTATAGCTAAAATTAAGGACATGACATTAAACTTCTCTTCCTGTATAGCTAAAATTAAGGACATGACATTAAACTTCTCTCCCTGTATAGCTAAAATTAAGGACATGACATTAAACTTCTCTCCCTGTATAGCTAAAATTAAGGACATGACATTAAACTTCTCTACCTGTATAGCTAAAATTAAGGACATGACATTAAACTTCTCTCCATGTATAGCTAAAATTGAGGACATGACATTAAACTTCTCTTCCTGTATAGCTAAAATTAAGGACATGACATTAAACTTCTCTCCCTGTATAGCTAAAATTAAGGACATGACATTAAACTTCTCTACCTGTATAGCTAAAATTAAGGACATGACATTAAACTTCTCTCCCTGTATAGCTAAAATTAAGGACATGACATTAAACTTCTCTCCCTGTATAGCTAAAATTAAGGACATTATATTACACTTCCCTCTCTGGGTAGCTAAAACTAAGGACAATAGATTACACTTCTCTCTCTGGGTAGCTAAAACAAAGGACAATAGATTACACTTCTCTCTCTGGGTAGCTAAAACTAAGGACAATAGATTACACTTCTCTCTCAGGGTAGCTAAAACAAAGGACAGTAGATTACACTTCTCTCTCTGGGTAGCTAAAACAAAGGACAGTAGATTACACTTCTCTCTCTGGGTAGCTAAAACTAAGGACAATAGATTACACTTCTCTCTCTGGGTAGCTAAAACTAAGGACAGTAGATTACACTTCTCTCTCTGGGTAGCTAAAACTAAGGACAGTAGATTACACTTCTCTCTCAACAACAAAAAATCTAAGGACAGTGTATTACACTTTTCTCTCTGCAGCTCGCCAATATCATGCGCACGGTTGTTGAGCTCGGCCAGTCGAGTGCCGATGGGAGCCAGTTTGTCCTTGATGTGCTGGACACTGTCCACTGAAGCGGCCAGTTGAGTCTCTAGTTGCTCCAGGTCTCCTGTCAGCTGTTGGCCACACATTCCAACAGAACATAATGTTACTTCTTTACAAGTAATGCAATCATATACAGTCTATAGACAGTCGCACAAATACATCACCTTCCTTTCTCATCCTGACGTAAATACATACAATATGTAAACATATGTATACGATAAGATAAGATACATCTTTATTGTTCAGATTCTGGCACATTGGTTTGTTGCTTCACCACATGTACACACACGCAGGCCTACAATCACATGTATAATATAAATGAGCAGCAATATAAACGATAATAATCTTAAGATATACACACTCAATGTTAAATGATGCCTGCTCTATCGTAAGTATACTTATACAAGATGGTTAAGATGGGAGCATTTTGATAGATGATGGTAAAAATTACCTTCTATATCTTTCTTTGTTACAGATCAGAAGCCTAGGTCTTTTACTTCTGACTGATGTTTTTATTTGAGGGAACAAGGGATGTTTGTTGTCTACAAAGATGGAATTAATTTTTTAGTGCAAGTTTCTATGTACAATTCATCCAAGTAAAGGAATGTAGATGTTGAAATTTTACATGCTTTCCGTATTAATCGATTTAATTTTTCTTTATCTTGTTGTCTTGTGTTCCCGGCCCATGCAGTAATACAAAAATTGATCATACTTTCTCACACAAATTACATGCCATCTGCAAACATATATCTCATATAAACACATACAATCTACAAACATATATCTCAAACAAACTCAGTCACCATCCTTTTTCACCCTCATTCAAACACATGCAATATGCAAATATATATCTCACACAAACACATGTATCCAGAGTATTATCTTAATCAATCATTAAATGTATCTATAGTGTCATATCAATATAAGACTACAAGTATTACTAGTACTCCAAAAGAACAAAAATAAGACAGGAAAATCATAACTCTTGAAGGAATTCAAATCACATTGTTCACATTGTCTTAATGCCCTGCCAGAAAGGCTACTACAAGATGTCAGAAAAAAGCCTGCCCTTCTGAAAAACTGGTAATTTCTGATATTTAACAAAATAATGCATGTCTCTAGTGAGTTTGCCAGTGTGTTGGTGCATATAAACAACTCCCCACTTACCTGTTGGGCCTTGTCTTTATGCTGTTTCAAATATTCCAGCTCTTTTTTACCTTCTCTGATTTCTTGATCCTGTACATGCAATAAAAGAAAGTTTAGTTTGATTTGAGTAAAAAGAAGCACATGGACATAGTGTCTGTCACTTAGAACAAGGAAAGAATAAAGCAGACAGACAGACAGACAGACAGAAACTAAAGAGGTAAAGAAAAACAGTAAACGAGAAAATTTTGTAAATGGAAAGAAAGAACTCCCAACATACAGTCGACATTGTCCAAGACAGCCACCCACTGTCGAGGAGAAAAGAGTTGCCTTTGACAGTGGGACATCTCAAACAGTGGCATTATAATATTTTTTTAATGCTGTATGTCTGGCCTTTTCTTTACATCAAATACCTGTTATTGTGCCAATGTAAATTTCATCACCCTTCACATCTTCCTATTTCACCAAAAACTCCCACTCCATGTTCATATGCTCATTTCCCCCTATTTCATCACAATGCATAAAGTGTAATATCTATAACATTGATTTTGGCAGTTTTGTAAATTTGCAACAAGCACCGTACATATAGCATAACTTCTGTTTCCCACTGCTTGAAAAGTAGTCCAACCTGTTGTATGTACTCACAGACATCTTGCCAAATTGAAAGCACAATTTAAAACACAAGACTTTCAACACTAAAAATGTTGACCAAAAAAACAAATTTTTTTAAAACCATAAAAACAAATTTAGGGACTTACAGGCAATCAGTCACTGTTCCTTGCCATCAAAGAGTCCACATAATGAGCCCCAACAGCAAAAAAAGATTCTCTACGGTAGATATATACTTTACATTCTTCAAACAATAAAATACAGCTACACAATAATGACACTTGAGTATAAGAGTCTTTAACTTACCTGAGATACTTTCAACTTTTTAATCTCTTCCATGACTTTTGTATAGCGCGTGGAAGCAAATATGGCATCAAATTTATCCTTCAAGGCCTTCCCTTCACTGAGAGGCCTGCAATTGAACATTGGCAAATAGAATCTCACCGTCAAGTCTTTCAAAGCAAGAAAAAAATGAAAAAAAGCACAGAACAGAAAAAAGAAAAAGAAAATTGGAAAAATTTCAGTCAATAGTGCTTTTGACAAAAGAACTGTGGTCTCCGATGCTTGAAAAGTAAACCCAGATAAAAAAAAGACATGACAGACACTGCAGCTTAGAAGCAACTTGCCTGATAACTTGCATGCTGAACCCCTGCAGGAAGAAATTAGCCAGAACATCCAGGTCAGCCCTTGGGCACCCCTTGTGTTGGCAAAACTACCCTGTTATTTTAAACCAGTCTTAAAACTTTTCTTTCATTGTGAAAAAACCGTAAATCTTGCCAGCAAACAAGGGAACAGAGGCCAGTCTTTCATTCGACTGCTTAATTCCAGCTCATGAAGTCCAGTAATGAATTAGTGGCCAACATTAGAAAGAGACATCCCATTGACAGGGTTGTAAAAATAAAACATGTAAAACTGTGAAGTAAGCAAAATCTATTTCACTTTGACTAATCTAAACCAGTGCTTCCACCAGCTGAGGCTGAAAAGTAAGGAAAATTCTGCAGGGGGTCTGGGGGCCTGCGCCCAGCAGGGTCCAGGGACAGCGTCCCGGTGGGGGGCTTAGGGGGGCGAAGCCCCAGAAGAAATAGAAATTAAGTGCTTTTAGAGGGCTGAAAATGGCATTTGGGAGCCTGTTTGAAGAGATTGCCTACAAATCATAATATTTGTTTTTTCACCAACATTTTGTCTTGTTTGATTTCTTCACCAAGATCTACATAATAATTAATACATTTCCATTGATGACATAGTTTAAAAGCAGGTTCCCTTTCCATTGCTACTATAATTCAATTAATTTGTCATCGCACCATTGATAGAAAGCAAACATGGGAATAATGAATAGATATGTACCTTCACAATACAGTTACCCGGCGTATACCCTAATTTTCCTTAAATTTCACGTCCAAATGTCGCATGTCACAACCTCGGAACACCACTTCTAATTATTCTTGATTTTAGTAGTTTTAGGCTGGTTTCAGCATAAATCTCGTTCCCGTGCCGTAGAATCTTCGTATTGATCATTTCTCTAGATCTAGACAAATTGTGAGGCAGCGTGGTGGAATCAGGCTCTCGTCAAAATAATCAAAATGAAGAAACCTGCATTCTTCCGCAGGTTTGTGAATTTTAATCAATTTTTTGGGGGGGGCTCAACACCTTTCATGCACAATAAAGAATTCACTTCTGTGTGGATTTTTCTTAAAAACGATTAAAGGCACAAAAATGTAACTTTTCAGTTACCAAGGACTTTTAAGCTAAAGAAATAACTAATCTTTGGCAGCCATTTTCTCACAATTTTGCCTCTGAAAATAGGTGACCTCCACCTCCTTCATTCACAAATATCTCGACTTGTATTCAAGATAAATGAATATTTTTTTCATACAAACAAAGAAAATTGAACAAGCTTTAAGATGATACCAATAACTCTACATGCCCAAAAATTGATGAGAGCTTGATTCTACCATGCTGCCTTACAATTTGTAAAAAAAAGTTTCTTACTGACAGTATTTTCTGTCTAAGATCACATGTCAATTTACTTGATCAACGCGCATATTTTCCAGCCGCGACAACAATCCGAAGATAGACTGACGGAATGAGTGAATGATAGAAAGGAGGAAATTAGCACAAAAAAGTTCGCCAGATTTTGATCAATCCACAGGTAAAAATTAACTGCCAACCAACCCGCAAAGAATGCATAATGTGGCATAGCGGAACAATGGCTGATTGCAGGAAATGCGCAATCTGGCAGGTTTCTATAACATTAACTTATTGCTGAGAGAATTATCGTAAATATCCGTAACTTATACTAGTATTAGACAATACGAAGGCGAGTACGGATCTTTTGCTACGGAATTTCGGTAGTCCTACGCTGTCGCAGCTTTTTATGGAGGGAGTTGATAATGATGGAGGAACAAGTACGGAAATGGCAGAAAGTACAGATTTCCGTAAAAATACGGAAGAGTGGAAGAACTGCTAAACCCAAAATGATTAGAAACTCTCTAGAAAGAAGTCTACCGGGTGATAATACATCTAAGAAAAGACAATTCATTCAAAATTAATTTAATACATGATTCACAACCGAACTATGCTTACGCTTCAAGAAAATGGGATTTACAGTAAGTAACCCAGCACACTTTGCAAAACCATGATGAATACATACCAATTGGAATCTTCTTGATGGCAAAAGATGACATTCTCCAGCACAGCTTTAGAAACACCGAGGGCTCCAATCATCTGAAATAAACAAGCAGATGTAAACGCTGAACAATTTCAAAACCATCTAGCTTCTCCCTCTCCTCATTCTAAAAACCAAAACTGGACTACCACTCCAAAATGCAAACCATACAGTGGATGGGATAACAAACACAAAGCAAAATGGCAGACAGAAAAATGCTTTCCTCATTCACACACAATTTCTTTTATTTTCATCAATCCTCTTCAAAAACAATATTAAAAAATCACTAAACACTGCATCAGAGGAACCTAGCAGCGATCACATTTAGGCAGATCTGAAACAAATCTACATAAGTTGAACTTACAGTGACAGTTTCTATAATATCTATGTTACATCTTCCCAAAGTCAGTATATGTGTCACGACGCGGTGGAATCGGGCACTCGTCAAGTTTTGGGCATGTAGAGTTATTGGTATCATCTTAAAGCTTGTCCGTTTGTCTTGCTTTGGATGAAAAAATATCCATTTATATTGAATACACGCCGAGATATTTGAGAATGAAGTAGATAGGGGTCACCTGGTTTCAGAGGTAAAATTAGTGAGAATATGGCCATCAAAGTTTAGTTATTTCCTTAGCTTGAGAGTCCATGGAAACTGAAAATTTACATTTTTTTGTGCCTTTAATCAACGTTTCCAATAAAATTCATACAGAACTGTGTTCTTTAATGGGCATGAAAGGTGTTGAGCCACGAAAAACAAATCGATAAAAATTCAAAACCTAGCGGAAAAATGCTAGCTTCTTTACTTTGATTATTTCGACGAGCGTCTGATTTCACCACGCTGCCTCACATATATAAAACAACATACTTGCTCAAAACAACAAAAATGCAATAATAGTCATTTGGTGCAAGAAAACAGTAAGACAGACAAACAGAGACAATAGAGGAGAAGGGAAAAAAGGACCTGCCAATGGATTCCTCAAACCATCCACAACATTGAACTTAAAGGCAAAAAAGAACATAAGCCATGTGTTGCCAGCAGGAAACTGTTACCTCTCTGTTGAGGTCAGCACACCGGGAGGTGATGGATTCCTTCACTCCTTCCCTCGTCTCCCTCACCAACACGCCATCAAGAGTTTTCATTTCTGTTTTTTTGCCCTGTCAATATAAAAAGGAGGACTGAAGAGAGGTGCACGTTCTTTCACACCAGCTTCCAGATACTGATGACTGTTCAAATCATGAGGAAGTATGATTCCCCCCCCCCTCCCCCCCAAATGCATTCTATAAGATGTCACACCTGTCCTACACAGAAATATGCCATGTCACCCCACCCCCTCCCCATTACATGAAAACATCTGGCTTGGGGCTAGTAGCTTCACAGACACAGAAAAAGGGCAAATATCTACCAGAGGTAGGACTACAGGTATCTAAGTCAACCGCTAAAGGCCCAGAAGAGTGGTCAAGACTGTAATATTCCAAAATGCAAAATGTGTGAGATGTAGGCATATTTGTTGAGATAAAGTGCCAGATCTTTTAGGTCACTTTTCAGTTACAAAAGACATTCAACGAGCACTTAAATCAGCGAGCTCGCTTCAGGGTGAACAGCCCCCGCAGACATGGCGTCGCTCATTTTTCTCCCAGAACGAACTTTATCTATTCCCGGAAACCATCCATTGCACCTGCATCGTGAACCATTATTCATTCAATTAGCCGATTGCATGCGACCAATCAGAGGCTTTTTTTTATACCAACACAAGCTTTGTTGGCACACACATGTGTCTACTCTGGTGCGGGGTCGGATAGGCGGCCTGCACACGAGTGACTGTGTGTGCATGTCGGGGAGGGGGGTGGGCACTAGCGGTCCGGGCGTTGAACGTCGCAGATACAAACGCGTCAGTCTTTTTTCCCCCCCCCAAGGCAACTGATCATTATTACTATGACAAGCTAGTCTTGACGTAGATTTACGTAATGAATTGTGTGCTGGTCTGTGAAATCAAAAGTTGCCATATGCTAGGCTCTGTAGATCAACACAACTTTTTGGTAAACAATCGAGATGACACAGGCGAGTGCATTTGAACGAATCTGTCTTTTTTTTTTTTACACAGCTCATAATATGCAGGTATGCAGGCATTTCAGGCACTACTTGTGACTTTTCTTTACATTACTTGCTCAGTGCTTGTAATCTACACAAAACCTTGTGTTTGCTATAACGAACACTCGGATTCAACGAGATTTTAGGTCATGCCCGGCGACCTCGTTGAATCCGAGTTCCACTGTAGTTTACAAGAGTGATAAACATACAAAAGAAGTAGAGGAAAATGACGATAGTAAGGCAGAGGAAAGAAAAAGCAGCAGTTCCCCCTATGTTGTTCCGGCACAGTATGAGCATGCATTGATAAATCAGCCCTTATTTACAATTCGACTGTGCATAAGAACATATTACTATCCCTCCTTTGGGAATGGCCTAAAGACACCTCAGTCAGTAGAGCAATAGCAATAACTTGAATGGCTCAAGTAGACCCATGCAGTGTGAGAGTTGTAAGAACTGTGGGAGGGCAAGATGCAGTGTCACTGAAAATCTGCCTGTCTTGAACAGAAAGCTACACTATTGTTATAATTTACTATCACTCACCCAATGAAACATGTACATGTTAGTTAACACGGTTTACAAGGTATGAAAGATGCCGATTCCACACACGCCCTGCACCAACACGCGCTTTGCAGAGAGCTCTAAATATAATCAAAATTCTGAAATTTGCTTCCAAGTTTTTGTCCTCTGGTGTTGCCTTCAGCACCCTCCCCAGAGCGTATCTTTTAAAAAAAATTAATAATCCCCTACCGGTACCCATTCCGTATCTTGTGATGCGAACAAGCGCAGGTTCACTGACCGGTCACGATGGCGAGCCCGACAATCTGAAAATCGGACGACGCTTGTATCTTCTTTTCTTTTTTCCCCCCCATAAGTGACAGCACAGTGACGAATCCGAGTATTGATTAAATTTTATTTGCGCGGTGACACAGCGCTTATACTGCACAACTTGCATGTCGCAAATCTTGCGTTATCAGTATATCGCCGGCAAATTTCTGGGTGGTAAAAAATGCGAAAGTATATCTTGATTTTCCTGATCGAGCCTCGTTGTCACATACTTTTCCGCCTGCTGCCATAGCTGCCTTTTCGCATGAAACGTACTCTCAGACAGGGAAAAGGTGAACGAATATTATTTTACAATTGCGACCGGCAAAATCGGAGTCATGTACCGCGGCTAGGGTTCACTGAAAAGTTTTGCTGGCTCCACCACCCTGTACGCAAGTTAACTTATGACTGTTTACCAAATGTTTACTACCACCACAGCACATTTACTACCATTTGGGACCTTTACGACCAGGGTGCCAAATTTATGACTTTTTTACGACTTGACAACCTTGCTGGACACCCTGAACATGTCACAGCAGACTATATTCCTGTCTAAAAAAACATTATAAATCACACCACAAAGCATGAAAGAACAAGTTCTTTGACGAATATTCTTTATACATCAGCAATTAATTATAAAATTAACAGACTCACTGGATCACCATTTCCTAACTGACCTTTCCATCTTTAACTCTAGCTATCACAGATCTCTCCACAGTCAGGGCAGCACCAGTCACATCTTTGATCATCAATTTTACCTGACCTTTGACCTCACGTTCATTTGTCAGCTGAAAAAAGAAGAACTGTACAATTCACACAGTAGAGACCATTTACCTACATGCTTGTGATGAACAATACAGACAATTAGGCAAACTGTGCTAAACCACATATCTGTCCCATTCTATCTCCCAAACAGCTAAATTTTGAATCTTTTTTTAAACTCAGAAACATTTCATTCAGTCACTTTAATACTAAGTTTCTAATATGTACAATTGAAAACGTATGACATTTCCCCTTTCCAACGTCAATCTCAGATGTAATTTACATAACATGTCCTCCCCTAGGGTCAGAATAAAACAGACTAAAGTAAAAATAAATTACAATTTTAAAAAACCCATCATCATTAGGATGTCTGAGACGAAAAGACCATTTCCCAGCCAAATTCACAAAATGTAAAGGTAAAGATGAGCACAAGTCTAAAGAAGTGAACCCAATTCAGCATACATCATTTAAAAATAAAATTTTCTTTTAAAAATCCAATATGATATGGAACCACAAACACATGACTTTCCTACAAAACTATACTGTATTCTAGCAGCTGACACTGACTTGACAATGGGAGATCAACAAACCTTTGGGTCATGAACAAACGCCGCTCCTGCCCCCTTGCAGCCTGGTGGCATGTCACTTGTGGTTGCATATTTCAAGCATTCAATGATCGTCTGAGATAAAAAAAAAATATATATACATTTAAAGCCATTCAGTTAACCATTGATCTCTTATTGATTTCCACAGTAGGAAAGATGTGTTTGTCCTTTTCCAAAATGAGTGAGGATGGTTTATATTTTACACAAACATAAAAACAAGTGTCAAACTCTGAAAGAATTAAATGTTAAGGTTGTTGCATTTATGAGAAAATCAGTTTAAATCTGTGTGCATAATGATGCCCAGTGAGAACAGACTCTTAGTCATTTTGGGAAGACTCATCAACCACTGTAAGCAGCCCTTCAGGTTTAACATGTTAAAAAAACAAAAACAAACTGAAATCAACTATTTCTATTGCAATGTGACCAAAAAAGGTTACAATTCAAAAAGTTGTCAGAAAAGTGAACAATGAATACAGATGGCATTTCATGAAGTATGTTTTAAATTAAATAAAAATTTTACTAAAGATTAAATGTCACTGAAATAGTTTATTAAGTTGGTTCAGTACAACAGTGATCTGAACAAACAGGCAATCTCACATACAGACAACCCCACAGAAGAGGTAAACCTCACATACAGGTGATCTCAGCAAATTAAAAAAATTAATACCGTTTTTCCTGTGCCATTCGCCCCCAGGATGAGAGTGAGCGGTTTAAAAAACTTCACTTTCATAAAATCAGAGGAATCTGGACCGAAGCTCCGGATTCCTTGAATCCCCATTGCCTCAATGGTTGACATCTTTTCAGGATTTTGTTGTACTCAAAACCTAAAAATGGGAATCAAGAAAATAAATTCAAACAAAAATCACTTAATCTTCTACAGTACAAAGTTAAAAGCAACAGTTTTCAATACTTTCTTTTACACATTGCAGTGCTAAGACTTGGAGATAAGAAAGGACAAAAAACATCTTGAATTATGAAAAATTTGAGTATACAGTCCAACCTGCTTTAACGGTCACCAGTATAAGACAATCACCTGCACAAAAGACCACTGTTTATTTCCTCCTTGCATTTTGTATAATGACACTGCTCTGTAAAGCAGTCATCTGTCTAAGACAACCACTTTCCTCCTCGACAACGGATAGCTGTCTTAGACGATTTCAACTGTATTTTTCAAAATTTTCTCTCTAAAAAGAGATACACATTTCACTCTTTTAGTTCCATTGTTTCTGACCGGGTTGACAGAATGACAGCTCATCTCACTTAAAAGTTGTATAGGAGATGTGGGTGGGCTTATAAGCTATGACGGATCACACGCCTCCCTCATCAGCAGCTGAAAATTAGTTATTGACCGTTCAACTTGGATATACAGTCAAAGAGAACTACACAAATATAATCGTTTCAGTTATTGGACAGACTTACAAACAAAAGTCAATAAGGACAGGTGAATGAATTATGATGGCTCATCCATGGCCTCAGACCTCACCACCTGCCCCACTCCCGATACATTCCTCTATCATACATCTGTCTGCGATTGAAATGTTCATAGGCTGGTAATGGAGAAGGATAGAGAGATTCCCCTTTGAGCATTTTGACCAGTCATGACAGAAAGTGCTTTGCCTACTCAACCTCATTTGAAACAAAACTGCCAAGTTCTGTTCTACTAGCTCTAACCATTCCATCCCTCTGCAAGGTGAACAAGAGGAGAAGAGGTGCAGTGTGGCAGTAGCTCTTACTGATGTGAGCCTTGAGCAGTGCAAATGGACAGGGTGGTATGGATGTGAAATTTCACTGCTGTCTGTCTTCAAAGTGCCTAAATGGTGTATTGGCATGAAAACTTGCTTGGTTAGCCAAAGATATGAAATCTAACCTCAAGTGCTGCCCTGATCCTGTGACCTGCTGCGGAAAAAGTTCCCCAAATTGTTGTACAGTACACATGATACAAAGGAAGGGCGGCATTGATGACTGGTGGATTGTGCTTATTACACTTATGAGGCTAAGGGTGGAAATAAAGAGATATTCCATCGTTTCTGTTTTTCATTGTTCAAACGAGGTCCTAATGAGATGCAACATAGGATTAGTAAGTGTGACTCGTGCCATTATCAGAACAGCTAAGATGCCACTTCAGAGGTTTTAAGTTTTGACTACTGCTTGCTGACTACATGGGTGACCCATGCTGAATTCCTCTAAGACAGAAAAAATTCAAAATGTGCCAGATACATTTTTTTCTGGTTCCTTGTATCTGTCTTGGACAGTTTTGACTGTATGGTAAACGTTTGCTCCTGCTTCTTTGGCAATAATGTTCAGAGTGCCAGCAAAAAATACTCCCCCCCCAACCCCCCGTCTTATTACAGGGCTCCCCTTTACGCACAAAGGTGCATATATTACGCATTAAATTAAACCCGCAGACCACCCCCTTTAAGTTTTGGTTGTGCGAGAGCTTTACGCTTTATAATTTCATTTCAGGGGTTTGCACGCTTTAAAACGAAGGTGGTGTGTGTCTGGCAAGCATCATTTCCCCCTTTCTCTATCCCAAAGCCGAGTCAATGATTTGACGACACACCCACACACATGCAGGACAGTCACCTTCTGTGTCAGAAAAAGTCGGCTAGTCGACCTACTTATCAGCTGCGCGAAGTTTCCAGCAACACAGGCTTGCTTCAGCACAGAAGCTAGGCCCACATTCTGGTCGCTCACATTTGCCGGTATCATTCGAGTTTACCCCTGCCGTGAGGTTACATGCTTTGTCCGAGTTTTGGTTAGTCGGGCCCGTCATCAAGACCCGTCAGTAAAACTGTTCCAATCGCGGCGTGTGAGTTCCGTGTGTGCCGGGGACCGCCGTTGACGCGGTCAATTTAAGTTCATGCACATTGGTTGAAGCGTCTTTCGGGACTTGTCCGAGGGGAAGGGAGGGGGCATGTAAAACACTTGGACTAGGAGACCGTGACATGATACTTCAGGATTTTTTTAAAAATGATAAAACACACACAGGCATGCATGTGCGCTCACACACACACTCACACGCATGCAGAGGGAATAAACATGGATATAATAAAGGACACCCCAGATCCCAATTTTTTTCCCCACTGAGATCCTGACTTAAATTTCATAGAATGGCAAGTCTATTTTTCTTGGAGTATTATAGTCGGAGTTGACCCCTTTTGGTTCGTCAACTTTATTTGATTTTTGATAGACCCAACTGCTCAACCACCACCACTCTTCCCCCCTCCAAATGGACACAACTCTAATTTTAATCAGTATTCTTCATTTATTTCTTAAGTTAATTAAAATCGTTAGCTTTCAATGATAGTCATGGTCACTCTATGCGTGTCTGAGTGAATGTACGAGTGAGATAAATGTTTGCAAGCAAAAAATCTTAAAATTAATTATGAGATATTGACTTTTTTTTTATGCGGACGATGACCGTCCACCTGATATAATAGAGGGGAAGATTTCTCCATCCCTCGGGTGCCTCGGGCAGTATCCGCCTCGCTAAACCAGTGGGCACTAAGGCCGGAGAAGCTGAGAACAGATACCACCTTCGATCTTAGCCAAAAGGCCGAAAAGCGATATATTGACTTTAACCCTTTAAGTTTCTAAAACAAGGGTTTAAATACCCCTTAAAATAGTAAACCAAAGGGTGAAGAAACCTCACAATTTTCTCAAAGTGAGTTGTATTCAGTTCAGTCACTAAACATTAGTTTAGTTTGATACTTGTTTGGTTTTAATTTTAAGGTTTATTGTGAACATTAACTGCAGAACCATTTTTTGCCTTGTGTGCTGGCTATGAGAAAAAAGTTTTTAAAAAACCCCTGTTCGAATGAATTTAGTATTTTTGTCCTCTAACATTCCTCACATTCATTTTGATGTCATTTCAGTTGACACCCTCGCTAATTTCTATGATTTTTTTCAAGTGGTTCAAGTTTTTTTTTATCAGTAAAACACATTCACATGAACTGTTGACTTTATATTTGTCTGAATCTGTGATCATTGTTGTTTTTTGTTTAACTTATGCATGTAACATTCCTCACAGTCCAGGGAATTGGGCTTTTATGGCACGCTGTGCTAGACCTGATTATCAAAGAGGTCTGGCATTTTCAGAACAAATAATAAGACCTTACTTGAGACAACTTGCCACAATGCATTCACTGGAAACAAATTTGAAATTTGAACATAGATGTTACAAAATGATAATTTACAGTACAGGTGGAATGACCCATCCATGTAAAACGTGTAGCCTACATGAGACGGGTGCATGAGTAAAAAAAAAAGTCTTTTTTCCAGAATATCTAGACTATATACAGTAATCGTACCGGGTCCGGCAGCAGGTTTTTTTTTGGTAGCGTCAATTACCACCGAGTGACGCAGTGGCAATTGACAAAAATTGGCTTTTGTCAATTGCCACCGAGTGAAGCGGTGTCAAGTCTGAAAACAACACTATCTTTAGCATTATACATAATGTGTGTCTAATGGGTCAATTTGTTTTCAACTAATTTCATTGGACGAGCATCTAGTCTAGAGCCACGGTACCAACTTCATGTGTTTTCAATGAGACGTAGGCCTAGATCTAGGCTAGCCTTAGCCTACACTTTGGTGCAGAACTAACTCAGGCAATTCTAGAAGTAGAAGGTCACAAACGCACACAAACTCAAGCAGAAATTCACGTTATATTGGGGAACATAAATCAGGGGATGGGGGTCAAGAAAAGACACACGCACACATACACACACACACAGAGGGACAGAGAGGCGAACGCACAACACCGAGCACTCGAGCACAACAAGCTAGATCTGCCCACCACAACGCAAAAGAGCTCCAATTTACTCGGTGGCAATTGACAAAAAGTCAATCAATTGCCACCGCGTCACTCGGTGGCAATTGACACTACTTTTTTTTTAGTTTTCAGGCACTGGAGTACAAAAAATTCGTTTAAAATTTTGTTTTTAAATCTAACCCCAAGAGAGTGGCAAACAAACCTAAAGCAACATCAATTACTTTCGTTGACACTACAGTGACAGCCGAATTTTGCTAAAAATAGTCCTACTTAAGACACCTTTTCTTCACCAACTGAGCAAAACAGCGAGCAGCTCTTCCCCCGGAAGAGTTAACATTGGTTGTGGATGAAGGAGCCTGTGGCCTAGATTCTACTTTTTGTTAAACTCTGAAAGCTGGCGTTATTTAAATATGAGGCCCTATCAAGGATGAAAGAGAATTTGCATTTCAGTCCCGCCGTTTTTGCCCAAAGGGGGGGGGGGTGTGCCCGGATAGTAACATAAAATCCGTAGTTTCTCATCCTTCAGGCACATGAGATAATATAATACCAATGGTTATATGATAAAGAATCAAGAATTTGTGCATAATTTAAATAATAGTAGAGTCACATACAGCATATCAGCTCAGTCAGACACCAGTGTTGTACAGTCAGATACCAGTGTGTAATACATACAGTCAGATACCAGTGTAGTTGAGAGAGCCAGATACCAGTGTAATAGAGTCAGAAACCAGTGTAGTAGAGTGGGTCAGATACATACTCATTAAAATAGCTATAAATGGTGAAAACCACTTTAGACAAACTATCATTGTGTCCAAGTGTTGATAACAAGCATTAAAAATCATGTTATTAAAAGCTTGCAAAGAAACAAATGTGATAATAATTGAAAATGACCAAAAGTCAAAATACTGCCCGAATCCAAGAGAAAACACACAAAAAAGGGACTGAACACGTAAATAAATCTGGCGTCACAATAAGGGCCTCAAATATGCGAACAAGCTGAAACAGTGCATTCCAGGGGTCATCCAATCACAGGGCTTCCTGTAGCAAGTTTCGGCTGGTCTCTAGGGCAAGGCAGATAGGACATAGAGTTCTATATAAAGTTTTAAAGTCGACGTACCTATTTTCGTCCTAATTTTGATAGAACCGGTAATTTTACTCTATATGTTACTTGAATAAAACACTGACACTGTCATACTAGATCTAGACCAAGGGCCAAGTTTACTTTCGATCGCACAGCGCATTTGGTTGATCAAGTAAACGCTCGACAATCCATCGATTGTTGCGCATTCGGTTGATCAGCGCTTTTTGTCGATCCGTGAAAGATATACTTACTGCGCATTCTGTCGATAAACTATGATGATGAAGTGCAGAAAAAGAAAAAGAAAATTGGTTTACTGAGCATGTCTGTCTTTGAGTTTGAGCATTCTGTTATTTTGCTTCCAAGAAGAGTTGTGTGATGAACTTAAAGTGTTGACGGTTGAGTGAGGCAACACGGCGTTAAATCGAGCACCTGCACTCAGTATTTGGGCAAATTTGATTGGCTGAGTAGTTCACGTGGTATTTGAAATACGGTCAAGATTTAATGGCTTGTGATAAATTGTTGTGTGTTGATTAAAAATTTATTATAATACAAGTACTGTTTCCTTGAACAAGAGCACCTCCAATCAACCACTCCATATTGAATAAGTGTTCAGAGGGATACTCACCAACCTATAACCCTGATTTCAACTTCCGTTATTGCGATGTAGTAAGTTTATAGTAATTTTTATCTATTCGCGATCTAGTCAGAATATGGGTTTTATATTCGGACTCAGGTCCGAAAAGAATGTTTTATTTATCCGGACTCATAAAAAAAAAATAACAGAAAAACTCAACACTCAACAAAATCAAATTAAACAGGTGGAAAGACAATTTTTTTAAAATCACATCGCACAAAACCGACAGCCGTGGCCTCTTCCCAACACCTCTTCCCCAATAAGCCGAGAGTGCGATATAGCTACCCGCAGTCTCATTGGTCAACATAATTTTAACTTTGCCCACGCCAAGGCCAGCTCAATTTAGTTTTGTTCATACTAATGACGCAGGGAGGGCCAGTTTAGACCTAGATCTTGTAACTGGATATTAAAGCTGACGTCTCAATTGTTATCATTATAATCCAAAAAAATTTTCATAAATGCTCGAAATATTTAGGAACAAGAGTCAGAAGTCGGAACGGACATGTCATACTCGACTCAATTCAGAGTCCGAATATAATTGTTGTCTATTCGGACTGTCACCTCGATTAGTTCATTATTGTAACCCTGACTTCCAGTTACTTCCATTCAGTTTCTGTTTAACTTTGGAGAGTGAAACAAATTACACTCTGGACGACAACAAAACATAACAAAACTCAGGGGTAAGATCTATAGAAAGCGCAACCAAACGGATCGACAAAAAGCTGATCAACAGAATGCGCAACAATTGATAAATTGTCGCGCATTTCCTCGATCAACCAAAAAAACTGCGCAATCGATGGATCGCGCCCAACATATATATACTAACTCTAGGCACTCTAGCAGGCCTTTGATTTTGATGTGAGAGTTCTCATAGCATGGTCACTCATAACGGAAGTCCTCCCATGGAATTAAACGCGAGAAAGTAAACAATTACCACATTACCAGATCAAGATGTATAGAATCTAGATCTAGATCTAAATTTTCTAGATCTAAAATCTAGATCTAGTTGTCCACAAAGACAAAAAACTGAAACTAAAAGTATTTTCTGAAAGATGCCAGACTGGGAAAGCGAAAGTAGATCTTCTAGATCTAGATCTAATCTAGATTTGAAGAAGATCTAGAATCTAGATCTAGATCTGGAATCTAGATTCTAGATCTAGATATTTAGATCTAGATGGGGTGTAAATTAAGTTAGAACTAGGGACTAGAATCTAGATCTTGGATTAATTAAAAGGTAGTGTCAATTGCCACCGAGTGACGCGGTGGCAATTAACAAAAATTGACTTTTTGTCAATCGGAGTGTCTACGTACAAGGTAACCGGGCGCGAAGCCTCAGGGTCTACGTACACGGTAACCGGGCACGTAGTCTCAGTATCTACATACACGGTAACCGGAGGGTCCAAGAGATAGTTCACTCAGCCAAAAAGAGTGTCAATTTTATTGTTTTTCACACAAGTAGGGTAACTCTGTTCGCAAAGTTTGCGCTTTTTCGAAGAGGACGCACTAGGGTCAACCGCTCTATAGTCTGGCAGCATGATACCCACTAAATTTCATAACAGAGCGTCCAGTAAGCCTTTACTTTCGCTTTCGTTACCACCTAGAAATTTGTCAGTAATTGTCTGATAACGCAACAATTATTGTAACATGAAGGTTCGGCATTACAAACATGGTGTCGCCATGAAAATAGATTAAAATATTTGTCACTGTCAGGGGGGCAACATAAAGAAAAGAAAGTTATACAAGCGTCTTGTCGGGCTCGCCGTTGTGACCGGCCAATGAACCTGCGCGTGTTCTGAGCGCTTCGAAATACAGGACTCAGGAATGGGGAGGAGATTATTGATTTTTTTAAGAGACGCACTCGGGGATAGGGGGAGGGCTAGGGCTGGACGCAACACCAGAGGACAAAAAAAAAACAACAAAAAAACCTGAAACTGGAAGCAAATATGTTTAATGTTTAGAATTCTGATTACAACTACCTGCTCTCTGCTAAGTAAAATTTTCAGTGTCACTGCATTTTGCTCTCCTATAGGAAAGATGACAGGGAGAAGATTGGGATCATTTTTGGGATTACATTCCGCTCACAACACACAAAAAGCGGAGTGAAAAAGGAAAATGGTCAAGGTCGTGAAGGGAGCGAAGCAGTTATCGTGCACCTAGCTCAAGCCCCCCCCCCCCCCCCGAAACAAAATACCCGGTTACCATGTTCATAGATAATGAGAGGCGCCCGGTTGCCGGTTACCGTGTAAGTAGATATTGAGGCTACGTGCCCAATTACCGTGTATGTGACATTGAGACTACACGCCCAGTTGCCGGTTACCGTGTACGTAGATATTGAGGCTACGCGCCCGGTTACCGTGAATGTAGATATTGAGGCTACATGCCCGGTTGCCGGTTACCGTGTACGTAGATATAGAGGCTACGTGCCCGGTTACCGTGCATGTGACATTGAGACTACACGCCCGGTTGCCGTGTACGTAGATATTTTTGCTGGTTACCGTGTACGTAGATATTGAGGCTACGCGCCCGGTTACCTTGTACGTAGATATTGAGGCTACACGCCCGGTTACTGTGTGTGTGACATTGAGACTACATACCCGGTTGCCGGTTACCGTGTTCGTAGACACTGAGGCTACGTGCCCGGTAACCGTGTACATAGACCCTGAGGCTACGTGCCCGGTTACCGTGTACGTAGACAACTCAGTTTGTCAATTGCCACCGAGTAAATTGGAGCTTTTTTGCGTTTGTGGGTAGATCTAGCTTATTGTGCTCGAGTGAGTGCTCGGTGTTGTGCGTTCGCCTTTGCGTGTGTGTGTGTGTGTGTCTTTTCCTGAACCACGTCCCCCGATTTATCTTCCCCGATATAACGTGAATTTCTGCTTGAGTTTGAGTGCGTTTGTGACCTTCTACGCCTACTTCTAAAATTGCCTGTGTTGGTTCTACACCAAAGTGTAGGCTAAGGCTAGCCTAGATCTAGATCTAGATAACACGTCTCATTGAAAACACGCCAAGTTGGTACCGTAGCTCTAGACTAGATACTCGTCCAATGAAATAAGTTGAGAACAAATTGACCCATTGGACGGAAGGACTTCCGTAACGAGCGACCACCCCATCAAACACAATTATAAAGAAGAGGCCTTGACCTAACCCTTCCCCTACCCTTACCCCTACCCCAAGCCCTCAATTCTGCTCTGTCTCGTAGTGGTCGCTCGTTACAGAAGTCCTCCCCATTGGACGCACATTATGTATAATGCTAAAGATAGTGTTGTTTTCTTCAGACTTGACACCGTTTCACTCAGTGGCAATTGACAAAAAGTCAATTTTTGTCAATGTCAATTGCCACCGCGTCACTCGGTGGCAACTGACGCTACCTTAATTAAAAGGAGTATGAAAACAATGAAAAGCCAACCACAATAACAGGCTCAGGTCAAGACCACAACATTTCGTCGTAATGCAAGGCTTGGAACTCTTCTGAAAATATAGCAAAGGAAAAAAAGAAAATGCAATCAAAATAAACACAAGTTCAAGTGACAACAATGATTTGCAAGTGCATACTTTGCATTCATGCAAGGTAATTAAACGTAGCAAGTGTACATAAAAATGGCTTAGGACTGTAGGACATGCAGTTACTCGAAAAAAAAGGAACATTTTCACAAGAGAATTTAAATTACCTTTGCTTAGTGCTTAGTCAGTAGTCAGTTGTCACTGCACCTGAATTGGCGCCATTGGCTGATAAAAATGAAACCGGATGAGACATTTTTTTACTTTTTTTTGCCCGGATGGATGATCTAGGCCTAGAATCTAGAATCTAATTCTAGATCTAATAGAAAACAAAAGTTTAAAAAATTATAGATCTAGAATCTTACCGATCTAGGTTTAAATCTTCAGCCCAGCATAAATGTGATTATGTGAGTGACAGCAGAGACCGTAAAATACCTGGTATTTACGGTCTTTGGTGACAGCACAACCAATCAATCAGTCTTACAAATCATGTGAGCATTTTTTGACTAAAAATAGAAATAAACGGAAACCTGGGAAGCCCGAATTTTATTTTTAGATGGAATCAACAATGCAACAAGTAATAATTGCCCGAGGCTGAATTTTTGGGAAACCAAGGAGCTTTAATTTTTAATCTCCTTGGCGAGTCCTTGGGGGAAACCAAGGAGATTAAAAGTAATGGAGGATGCTCTGTCGGCGGCACCGCACGCCTGATAGGTGCCCTCTCTCGCGGCGGAACTGTGGTCTACCTGCGCTGCGCGAATCCCCGACTCACGCACTGAAATCTAGATAAGAAAGAAGGTTTTATTTCGAGGTCCTTGAGATTAGGCAAGTCAGTTAGTAAAAATGCCTTGCATATGTGTTGTATTTAAGTGTAAGAACCGATACGATGCTGCAGTGGACCGAAGTTTTCACAGTTAAGTTGTTTTCCTTTTTAAAAAATTGAATGAAAGTGTTTTTATGCCCCCAGCAACACAATTTAGATCGTTAACATTCATAAGAGGATGGCTCCGGCGCTACCTGCCAAGGCCAATCCAGGCCGAAAGGGATACAACACCCCAGCAGAAAGACCGAGATACTCAATTTTTTAAAAGTATTCTTATTCTTATATATATATATATATATATATATATATATATATATATATATATATATATATATATATATATATATATATATATAAAAATAATTATTATGTGTGTATGTATATACATATTATACATTTATATTGCTTTCCATTGTGTGTGCAAATTAGATGCTACTGTTGTCTAAATGTACATATGTGGAGGCTCCATTAGAATATGAAATCAATACTCAACAACAATAATGATGAATATTTTCTATGTTAAAGAAACACCAAACCATATCAGATGAGGGGAGAGGGTTGGGTGGGGTGGATAAGAGTTTGAGTCTTGTTAGATAGAACTATACTCGGTTTAATTCTATTGTTGTAGTCTTCACCTACGATCCCACAATAAATAATTCCGGTTCACTTAAGATTCTCCTGTTAAAAAATAAACCAAACAAAGCAACATCAAATTTTAATACACAAGAGTCATCACTGAGATAAATTATCCCCCCCCCCCCCCCCCCCCCCCGGAGTGTAATAAGGGACTAAAAACGCTGCTCTCCATATCATACTTTACTGAACAAAAAAAAAAAAAAAGAAGATAACCTTCAAAGGTCATCCACGCTCATGCATGCGATCACACCTCAAAAGGTGCTGTTATCTCTTTTTAAAGAATATTTGAAATCATTGTGCCCTCTACTTTGTGAAAACCAGGAAACAAAGTTATTGTAATTAATAATGTTATTATTTATAGACCAATTATATTATTATTTATAGACCAAGACATACTGTTAGCAATCAGATAACGCTATTCCTTACACATAAAGTTAGTTATGGCACACGCCTAGAATCATGCAATCATAATATCTTAAATTCAGTTTTAAAGTATATTTTTATCCATTTCTAATAATTAAATATTTTGGCATCTTGAAAGATTATCTTTATAATTTGGTATGTTTGATAATTTTATGTTACTTGGACAAGTTTTCTTCTTATTTTACACATCTTTCTGATTTTTAAACTAGATTATAACATAAAACTCTTAAAGAATTGAATAGTCCGTATCACACACAGAATCTTTTTTTTTTTCCCTGTCATTATCCGTCAGCCCGTCAGTTGATCACAATCAATCTCTCTCTTTCTCTCTCTTCTCTCTGTCTGTCCGTCCGTCCGTCCGTCCGTCCGTCCGTCCGTCCGTCCGTCCGTCTGTCTGTCTGTCTGTCTGTCTGTCTGTCTGTCTGTCTGTCTGTCTGTCTGTCTGTCTGTCTGTCTGTCTGTCTGTCTGTCTCTCTCTCTCTCTCTCTTTCTCTCTCTCTCTCTCTCTCTCTCTCTCTCTCTCTCTCTCTCTCTCATTCTCCTTCGTACCTTCCCAAGGCCCGCCCCTCCTCTTTCATCCCTGCTCCATCCCCTCTTCCTTGCGTGCATTCCCCCACCCCGCCCACCCCCACAACGTGGCCCAGCCCGATAAGATTCTATAAAAAGAACCGCCACAGTTCGAGATTTAGCCCACACTCAGCGGCCATATTTGATCCCCACCGCGGCGTACTGCTCGTGGCGCCGCGAAGAGAGAGAGGAGGCTCCATTAGTTCTAAACTCCTTCGGGGAACCCTTCTCAGGCCCAGATATTGCTCAGGCCTGAGCCCCGAGGTGACCTCCCGTAGCAGTGGCCGGCTACCGATCTTCAACAGAGACCGTGTTTTTATAATCATTGATCTTCGACAAGGGCTTACCTAGCCTGAATTGGTATTGGTCTAGATAGATGAAAGATTCTTGACCTGGAAAAAGAACGAGTTTAGGCCAGTTTCCTAGCTAAAGAAAAATCACACTCTTCAATTTACACCCAAGGCCATGTTTCCTTGTTGGTTTTAACTATTACTATTAAATGAAAGATTCCCCCCACCCCCACCCCCGCTCCGCTTCTCAAATCTATAAACACACACGTCCTTGACCTTGATTCTGTTGATTTTCTTTATTTGATTTTTATAGTAGGCCTAAGCCTAGTATTTATAATTTATGCAAGACGGTCTTGGGTAGCCGCTACTATACAATACTACGATAGATAGTATCGTAGAAAAAAATAATATTTTGCTCCCTCTTAGACACATTCCTTTTATTACACGTCACTTTTTTAACCAGAGCGTTTAAATGTTAGCCTAATGTCTGCTAAACTCTAAGCAAGACTATTAGCCTACATAGATGGGGTTATTTTATTGTGATCATTATTTTTTTTTATCAAGCCTAGCCTATAGATCTATAACACTTTCTACGACGACGCTTTTGCCTGAACTCAAACAAGCAGAGTACAGCCACAGCGCAGTTGAGCGCAGCAGCAGCGAAGAACAACAAACATTGTAAATTATCGTAGTTCGTAGGCTAGGTTAAAAGTTAAAAGTTTTTATTCTAGAGTAGAGAGAGAGAGAGAGTAACTTGGGTGTGCCTGTCAGTTGCCAGTGAAAAAATAAAAACGAATAACTGAAGACTGCAGCAAAATCTTTATTATGGATAAAATCATTGCCGAAAGGTGGGTGGAAACATTGGCTAGAGCCTACTAGAGTTTGATTTGTTATTGTTATTGTTATGTCACAAGTTATAGTTATGATGGATAGACTAGAGACTAGAGAAAAGCCTCGACATTTTCCATCTCAGATGCTGCCGCAAGATCTTAGGCATTCCTTTAGTGGTGTGACAAGGTTACAACTGTTGAAACGTTGGCACAGGCAAATCCCCAGAGCATGACAACTTCAACTTTCCTGTGTTTAAAAAGATTGAGATGGCTTGGCCATGTCAAGAGAATGGACGACAACCAACCGGATTTCGAAGCAACTTGGAGAACTTGCCCAGGGAAAGAGACCAAGAGGAAGACCAAAATTGAGGTACAAAGACACAGCTACAAAAACATCTAAGCTTGGATTAGATGTTAGCATCTGGGAAGAAATAGCTGAGGACAGGAAAACATGGAGGAAAATGAATAGAGGAAAATGCTAGAGAGCAGCCTAGAAACAACCAGGCTGAGAAGCGCCAACAACGAAAGAAAAACAGGCGGAAATACAGAGCTTCAATCTATGTCACTGACATGCAAGCATTGCGACAGAATCTGCACTTCAAAGATAGGAAGAATTAGCCATGAAAGAAGCTGCATGAAGAAAACCTTGAGACCGTAAAATTGACCGTCTGCAAAGACGAAAAGAGCCATATATATATAAGATCTATATATATATAATATATAGACTAGAGATCTAGATTCTAGATCTAGTGCGCATTAGTAAACATGGGGTGGGTCCACCAAAATTCTTTCTGGCCAAAATAAATTTTTAATAAATAAAAAGCAGAAAATATATAGATCTAGACTTGTGGTAGATATCTAGGGTTCACTTTAAAGCCTACATGGCCACTTTTGTCCTTAATAATCAGTCACTTCTGTTTCTTATGTCTTATGTAAACAGATGGGAAGGCAATTTCCAAAGAGCCCCGATTAAATCAGAAAATGAAGTGATGAACTTTAGATCTAGATCTAGATCTAGATATATATATATATTCATAATTTTGTTGTTGATAATTTGTTAGCGTCCGCCCCAGCAGCCACCTGTATTTTACTTTCCCTCCAGTCTCACACTTGGATCTTACTACCATATATATATATGACAGTTGTCTATTTTCTAGTAGGCCTAGATCTAGATCTACGATACGCTGAACACGAATGAATATCAACTTCATTTCCGTCACAAATAGATAGCTCTGATGATGCTTTATTATAATTGAGCTATACCACACTATTGTTTTAAGCCTAACCGCTATACTATAGTAATGTGTGGGCTTGGGATCAACCTGGGGGGACTACATGGGGACATCATGCCCCCCTGTTTTAACCCAGAATTTGATTTTTTGCAGTTAGGCGTTAGGTTTGAAATTTTTTGAAAATAATTGATTTGCGACAGTTTTAGCGGCTAGACTATATGTGTGATCTGCAGCAAACAGTACTGCTGGTTGACCCCCAAAGCACTGCATCCATGTGCGGGGGGTGAAAGTAAAAGTTTACACAGCCACCTAACTGAGCTCCTCGACGCTAGACGAATGCCCTGAATGGAGTTTGCATCTTTTGTGCGTCAGTGTCTTGAGTTGCGGCACCTGTTATGGCTGTGCAGTAGACTCTTCGTACAGTCTAGTCCTTTCCTAAAGTCTGTCCTGGAGTGGCAAGTCCGAATCCCACTACAAGAACAGTCCTGTTGCTGTGGGCTTGGATGATTCCACTCATGGCTCTGGTGGACAGTTTTAGTGGGTGCTCAGTTTAGAATTGTCATCTGCCCACCTCTCCTCCCACACCTCATCGTTCCTCCTCACAGTCCTTTGAACTCCACACTTGGCAGCCTGTCTCCAACAACTGTAGTCTGCAGCAAGGCAAGGGCCACCCATGTTGTTAGGTCGATGTTGCCTGCCTTCAGATCATGTGTGCTGAGGTCTTCTTATCTTATGCAGAGATCTTTGAAGTGTAGGCCTTCCAGCTGGGGTGGCAATGTTTTGTCTTTCTCACACTCACATGGCCATGATAGTGTTGACGTCACTAAACAAGTTAAGAATGAACATTGAAAGCCTTCCTTTGTCAGGACAGTTTAGTTTTGGGTGCAGTCTTGCCATATATATATGATTCTTATACAGAGTGCCCTTTGGGGGGATGGACAAACCGATTTCCTGACTCGTAGAGCTGTAAACAAAAGTGTTTCTTTTTGAGGCGACGAGTCAGGTGATCGGTTTGTGCCACGATAGTCGCTTTGCGCCCTCAATCTGGCTTGCAAAATGAATGTAACCAAACCGATCGTGCCAATGGATGCTGGATATTAAAGTCTTAAAGGATCCGTCTGAGGCTGTGCAGTTAAAAGGTTTTCATTTTAGTCTTCATTACGGGCATACAGAGGTCATGTTTACAGCTGTAAGACAGTGTGTGAGTGTGCTGAACACACAGACTTGATAGAATCTGCCATCATCTACGGACAAGGTCGTGATAGATATGCTAGCGGTTGGACGGATGCTACAGGACAGGCTGAGCAAGGTAACAGATTGGTGTGAGGAATACAATGCGGTCATCAATCCAGACAAAGCACAGGTCATCTGGTGCTCACTCAACAACCGTATTGTGAAAGATCCTACCCCTCCAATTGTGTTTGATCTGACCACTTTCTCTTAGACAGCATCAGCTGAAGTATCTGGGAATCACTCTGGACAGAACAGTTTCTTTCCGAAGACATGTTGACAATGTTGCTGTCAGGACTCAGAAGGGCATCAGTTTAGTGAAGACTTTGGCTTCAGCGGGAATTTAACAGAGAGTTCTTTTTCTCCTAATGCAGCTGGTGCTTCTGTCAGTCATAGACAATGGTCTGGGCATCCTCTCCCTGTCCAAGACTCAGGCTATGAGGGCAGTTCCAGGTTGCACAAAGGACACCCATGTTGTCTCTGTATGAGATACATCCTGGACCTGGCCAGCATCTGAGTGAGGCATAAGGTGGCACAGGCAAAGCTGTCTTGAACTTGAATGTTTTTGGAGACCCGAGGTACTCTTTGCATGACAACCTAAGCAGCATCAAAGGAAATAGGATCAAACGGGGTAGCTCATGGATGACAGAAGCCGAAGACTCCTTGAGGAAAGTTTGTGGCATCAATGAAATATGCTGTGGAAAGGAATTGTTTGAACTGAGCCCCGATTGCAGAAGCCTGGCCAACGTTCACATCACTATGGGTCATGAAAGACGGGAATGTGCCCCTGTCATTAACGACAATGAGATACGACAGTTAATTGAGGAGCATTCCAAGCCAGAGGACCCAGTGATCTATACAGATGGATCGATCAGGAGGGGTGAGAGAAGTGGATAGGGTTTTGTGGTGTACAGTGGGAATGAAAAGGTTCATAGCATTTCAGGGGCCATAGAAAGAACAACTTCAAGCATGAAAATGGAGATTGAGGCCATAACAAGAGCGCTTGGCTGGCTTCAAAATACAAAGGAGAAGTTTTGAAGACCCTGGAGGAAAAGTTGCGGGATGAAGAAGACAGGGAGACAGCAGAACACCACGCAATCATTAGGATGCAGGAAATGGGGATAGAGAGGGGAGAAGGAAGAAAGGAACGATTATCTGGAAAGGAAAGACATCGACATAATCAAACAGCCACCGGAACAATCAGTATGGATACCTTGCGGGCTTTGGTGCTGGGAGGAACTGAGCACTTACGGACCTGTCCGCTGTGCAATGACGTTGTTGCCCAGGACAGGTAATACATGGACATCTTGGTGTTGATGGTTGTAACATTATTACACCCTAATATTTTGGTGTAATGTTGTTGTGTACAGTTTATGTTTAATGAGAGCTTTTCATTTTAAAAAGAGTCATTGCACTTGGCTGCACTGGTGACAGCTTACCAACATGGCGTGGTGGTGTTCTGTGTCTTGTGTTCATAATAAGGTATCTGTGGTCTATGCTGTTTGATATCAGCCATTCACACCTTTACAATGGTAAGCATGGTGTTGTTAGCTCAGTGAGCTAAACTGTTGGTGCTTTACAATTTACAGATTATGATGTTCAGTTTAACCCTAAGAGTGAGGTTGCAGAAGATAATTGAGCAGAGCAATATAAGTGAATTCTTACTCCACCTCGACAGTGAAGTTGCTAAAGGAGATATTTGGCGTGTATATGCTGCCGGTTGGTCTTGTTGGTGCTTATGGCTAGACCAGAGTTAATGCTGGAATACGCAAAGCAGCTCGATGAGTCTCTAAAGGGCCTCTGATCCCTATAAAGCAGTTGGAGCAGCATCATCTGCAAATATCATTTACCCATCGAATACCTGCCCAACGTTGGTACTGTAGAACATGACTATAGCGGCACCTGCTATGGCGGGACCATCCCTACAGCGGGAGCTTACCGGAATCCCTTTTTTGTTCTATGTAAACTCAATTGTGTTTGGATATATATATAGCAGGGCAAGGAAAGTCCCGAACTCGGATACAGCAGGAGAGATCGAGCAAGCTCTGTCGGGGGGGGGGGGGGGCTGTAGTCAGGCTCCAAACAGACAGTCAGAGGTGCGGAGTTTATGGTTGGCCAGTCCAGTGATGAGTGAGGTGGGGCAGGCGGCAGAGAGAAATGGTGCAAAGAGACGCGCTACGTGAGCCGCTCCAAAATTTAAAGTGATGTGCCATAGCCTAGATGCTAAGTACCTTAAGAGCATATAGGCCATAGTCCTCGGCTAGGCCAAAAAGTAAAAGAAAAGGAAAGGGTGTAATGTGTGTTAACTGATTCATTGAATTGCGATCGTTGATGCTCCGGCATCCTCTTCACCAGTTCTACTGTAGGCCTACCGGTACGATAGACAGCACTAGCAACAAACCGAGGAAAAGATGGCTTCCAACAAAGACTAAAGGAAATGGTTTTCACTCGAATTAAAGCCAAGATAATCAACGATGTTGACAAGAAAAAGAAGACTAATCTAAAGTGCAAATTTTATTGAATAGAAGGGATGTATTCCTGCGGATTTTATTTTAAAAATTTCAGTAATTTCCTCTTTGCATTTTTAAAGCGGGAACTTGCCTACAGCGGGATTTTTCTCCTGGAACCAAAAGTGCAAGTTTGAATGAGATTTTATGTTGGTGCTTTTAACTCACAGAAGGCTATGGATAATTACATGGAGAAGAAGATGCCAAAGAGTGTCAGGGCGAGTACATACACAGCCTTGTTTCACTCCGCTCTTTAATGAGTAAGAGTCAGAGGATATTTGTTTTAAAGTAAGGTTTTACCGCGCTCACAACTGCATAAGGTCATATGAGCGCCATTCAGAGGATGTAAATTATGAAACTGAGCCAAGCAAGCTGTTATATGACGTAAAAATGACTTATCCAGTTCTTGTGTTAGATACACTCAAACAAGGGTAACTCGAATTCGCCAGGGATTGGAAAAAGTGTTCGAAATTTCCATAATTCGTCATGTCCGTGAAATCCCCAAATACAAAGAAATAGAGAGAAAATCAAGAGAGGTTAAAAAAAAAGAACATTAAAACAATTAATGTGGTTATCCCCCTTGATGAATGTGTCTACGATGTGAATACAAGAAGATGAATGAAAGTGGAAAGCAGAAAATCTTACGTGTGCACTGCCGACTCCTACGTTATGCCTTTCCTCTGATTTCTTTGGCTTACAGAAAGTTATGCCTCTTGCCATCCCCACCGCGCACGTTCCACAGCATGATTGCATGCGTGGCGAGCCAGTCATGCGGTGTGGTCAGCATCACACCCCAACCCCCATTTCCCGTTCGCCCCTTCCTCCAGCCTCTCATGGTGAGACAAGGACCATATTTTGAACGTAACTATGACAAAGAAACCTCTACCCGTAGCCAGAAAGGCAGTACTTAAAGCCGGTTCTTTGGTTAAGAATGTGAAGTGCAATTGTTCGAGGTTCGAGTGTTGCTAGTGTTTGGGAACTCCATGAATTTAATACAAAGAAAACATCGGGACTGAAACGGGACAGAGCATTATGTTTGAGATACCCGAGAATTCGTGATCTTCGTGTTCGAGATTCATGGACTCCACTCTATTTTAATTTTGATTAATGGTATCAGTATCAGAGATTTCTTTGAAAATGGAAGACTAAGATCTTGATAAAGACTATTTACCAAAAATTAGGACCAAAACTTTAGAAGTCTAGTCCTGGATGAATTACTTCTCACCTCAGCGAAAGCAAATCTGGATCTAGCAATATAATTTTCTTTTCTTTGAGGTTTTGTTTTTATACTACCTACTTATCTACATCTTACCTACCTGTGTTATGTATCAAGTGTGAGTGTTTGTGTGTGTGTGTGTGTGTGTGTGTGTGTGTGTGCATGCGCGTGCATAATCTTCATATTTCACTTTTTACATTCTCAGTGTGGTCTCAATAATTGCATCTTGAGAATATGACATGGTGCAGCCCGAGGCCCAAGCAGAGACGGTGGTTACAAGAAGAGAAAGATCACTGTTCAACTTTATTGACTCACACTTAAAGGAATTGAGGGTATGTATGTACTTAAACTAAGTTGACCTTTTGATTTTGGACTCCACTGCAGCCTCTCTATGAGTTCAATACAGGAATTGTTTTCTCATTTTGAAAAAGTCAGTTGTTAAATTTTGACATTTCCTGCTCTTCATCAGTGATTGTGGTTGATTGGAGGGTGCCACAGGTACATATATCCTACTTTTTTTCGTTCTCTCTATCTATGTCTTACTTGTTCACATTTTGAAAACCATTAACCATTATTGTGTCAATGTGCTTCTTGAGATCTAGGCTATTCAATCTCTCCTTGGGCTCCAGAAAGTCTACATGGTTATATACTTGTGTTCAGGCTAGAAGGAACTTGAAGGCAATTCAAAGGCTGAATGCGGGTGGTTGGCAGGGGCTCTGGTGTATTTTGTTGCTACTTTTTTCATAGGAAACATGTATTGTCCTTATCTGATCTCTCCTTCTTTTTTGTGTTAGTGACACTTTTGTAACACCTCTAACTAATCTTTGGCACTTATGTAACCAAACTGTGTTGAATGTGGCGTCAAATGCTTATTAAAATTTCAAAAGGGCTGAATGGGTTTCTTGATATATGAAGTATAATAATATACACGACATGTTAACTTAATCTTATAAAAATATTTTTTATTTATTTATCATGGATCTAGATGCGCAAATAAGCATGGGCCAATGTGGCTTTCAAAAGTGGATAGGTGTGAAGACAATGATGACCCTGTGAAGTGTAGCCTTGGAAATACAGGGTGATTAAAAAAGAATGCGCCAAAATCATCATGTTATATTTAAAAAACGAATAACAATAGAATTTAAAACTAGCTTGGACACATCTGTTGTACATACCTAAGTTTTTATTTCAAGTGATGGAACATAAACTTTGTCTTAAGCATACCCCCCCCCCCCCCAAAAACACAATGTGAGCTCCGAGGATCTGGCAGGCCAACAGCTGAGAACGAGGTCTCTAGCACCTCTCCAACTAATCCACCACTGAGGCACGTTTTCATTCAGATAAAAGCTCGAACCCAGAGATGCTAAAGGGGTGTGCTCCATCTTGTTGAAAAAATGAATTCCAATCTGCATGCAAATGAAGTGAATCCCACTTCTTTTGGAGGTATGTTAAAGAAAAAATTTATGTACCACCCCTTCCAGCAAATATCAATGACATAAAAGATCTAATAACAGCTACACTCCACCCGGTGGACTGAGACATCCTGAGGCAGAATTCTCATATTCAGCGCTTGATGTTGTCAGTTCTGCCGGTGTAGGCCTCATTGAGTGCTTGTAAAAAATTAAATAAAAACTTGAAGGTATGTACAACACATTTGTCTAAGCTTGAGTTTTCTATTGATTTTCGGTCTTGAAATATCGTGTGATGATTTTGGCGAATTCTTTTTTAATCACCCTGTATATCAGAATGTTTTCCTACTGCTTATGATCCTTTTTCGCTTCAGATACCGTTGTTTGAAGACAAAATTTTTACTGCACAAATGTCACCCCTAACATCCCACTCTTAAGGACTATATTCAGCTAAGATCCCCCTTTTGTTTCAGGTCATTATTTACTGAACAAAAATTTGAATGTGCACAGCTGATCAACCAAGAAACGAAAATGTGCGATTATTGCACTGCCCAGTGCATCAAAGTTCATCCTCTCTCATAAATGTGATCACATTATATTCATTGTAAATCTCGATGAGGGGGTACAATGTTAGCCCCATATGGGATCATGCAGAGGTGTGAACTCGTCAATGCTGTTGTTTTTCCCACACATTGCTCTTACAACTGAGCCTTCCACATGAACTTACATCCTGCTCTCAGTGGGTAGGGACTACAAGGCCTCATCAGACGGGATCTCATCAAACTGTGAGCTCGTCAGTGCTTTTGTTTCCCTGACCATCACACTTGCCATTCAACTCTGCTCCTGAATTTGCTAAATAGACTGGCACCCACGTGTGGGGACTATTGCCTTTGCATAATGTGAACACCTGTTGGCTATTAGCCTGCCATTTGCTGCAATAAGACATAAGTGGAGGTACTCAGTCAGAGATGGAAAGGTATACATTTTGGATGAGGAGAAATGGGATCAATGTATATCTTGCACTTATGATTGGTGGATGTAAGTGAAAATTGCATGTCTCATGCCATTATGATTGGTTGTCAAGGTTAACCACTCTTTGCTCATCCCCAAGGGTCTCGTCAGTTTACTTCAAAGTCAGGGGAGTCATTTTATTGATTATGGACCTGATCATGAGACACTATAGATTTCCCCCCTGATGAATTGGCTTAGATCCTGTTCACCTAAGATCTGGCATTTTCCTTGCTCCCAAACACTGGGATCTTAGGAGATGACTGCTGTGTGTTGGAGCTAGCTGGGAATATTTGTCAATGTTGCAAAGATGGCATGGATACTTCTGATGTTATTTTGTGCGACGTAAATGGAAACATGGAATTTTTGTTTGAAATAATTGTACCAGTCCTCAAAAAGTGTACGTTAGACAGTTGCTCTTATTACGATAGGCTCAAACTGTTTGGACTGTCAATGTCAGTGTCAACCCAGCTTTTTGTAACAGTGTTTTTCCAAGGGGACAGCCTGAGCTGAAGTCAGTATAAATATTCATAAACTCTACTGCTTTAAAAAAAATGTATCTTTCATATGTTGCATCCTGTCATTTTGTGTCATGAGAATGTACCATTTGAGTTTTTCTATTTGTTGTTTCCAGTGGAGTGCATATGGATTGGGAGCAGTCGCTTTTATTGTTCTTGTGAGAAAGACAAGATCTGTAAGTACTTGTTTTTTAGCTTGAAAGTGTCAATTAATGTACATGATATATTTTCTCTTTCTTGAGAGTTGACATGTGCTTGTTTTTGATTGAGAATAATTAGAATAATTTATAATTACAGTCGAACCTGCCATGACGGACACCTCTATAATATGGCCACCTGTACAAACGGACACTTTCAATTTCTCCCCCTTTCGTTTTTTTCTATATAATTTAACTGTGTAAAATGATCACTTTGTCCAACGAGGCCGCGGCTACCCTATTTTACCAACCCACGAACAAGTTTACCTCCCTAACACAGTCAGGCTTTATAAAAAACTATGCATTTTCCCCTGACGCTGTGGACAAGCCGTCATAATTCATCCACCTGTTGTTATTGCCAGTCCCTCCTATGGAAGAAACGGTCGTGTTGCTTAGGTCACTCCCAATGTTTACCCAAGTTGACCAATGGGTAGCAATAAATTTTCAGCTGCTGGTAAGAGAAGCATGTGGTCTTTCGTAACCTATATAAGCCCCCCCCCCCAACTCAGTCTGTAAACCCAGTCCATAACAATGGAAGTCTACTCAAACTGACTACAGAAGTGTCGCTCGTTCAGCGAGTGGTGGTGACCCATTTGTTTGTTTTACTATGGCAATTGGCCTCCCTCGTCTTACACATTTAGAATTGTTTTTGACCTTTCATGGTACCAATTTTTAAAAAAACAAAAAAACTTAACAACAAAAAGTCACGCAATAAACTGCACTATCCTCTCCCCCCTTTCAAAAGAAAAAAAACCCCAAACAATAACAAACATTTTAATGAGCCCTTTGGCAGTCCAAAGCCTGTGACCACCTCCGTGTGACGCGTATGATGGCCACCTGTTTTATACGGCCACTTTTCTCCTCGACGATGCGCTTTGTCAAGGGGAAAAGTGGCCGTATAAGACTGGTGGGCGTCTTAGGCCAGACTGATCAAAATAATTTACGGACTGAGTTATGGGCGGGCCTTATAAGTTATGACAGATCACACGCTTCTCTTACCAGCAGCTGAAAATTTAATGTTACCCATCTGTCGACTTGGGTAAACAATGGGAGTGACCCAAGCAACATGACCGTTTCATCCTTTGGAGGGACTGACAACAACGACAGGTGAATGAACTGTGACGGCTTGTCCACAGCGTGTGGGGAAAATGCGTAATTTTTTACAAAGTCTGGCCGCCTTAGACAGGTAGATTTGGCCGTGGGTTGATAAAATAGGGTGGCCGCAGCCGTGTTGGACTGGTGCCCGTTTTACACGGTTAAGTTATAGAAAAAACGCAAGGGTTAAAATGGAAAGTGGCTGTTTGTACAGGTGGCGGTCATGGCATGTTCGACTGTATTAATTTGTTTATTTTTAGTGTGAATAATACTGTCCCCGTCGGATTAATACGATTGTGTGGCTGCGTTTTTTTGCATAATTCTGCAACATATGCATAATTTTGGATTCCATGCGTTCTTTCACGCTTTTTAATAAAATTTTTCTCAAAACATTTTAACGCATCACCATGTGACTAAAGGGAAGTAATCGGAGTAATAAGTCTCATTTAAGTGACAAGTTGGTTATTTCTCTTGTTAGGGAATGTTGTTCCTTGAGCCATGTTCAATTTTAAAATTTTTATTTAGTAGAGGTTTTACGACACTCGAAACTGCATAAGGTCATATGAGCGCCAAGGGATGGATGTCAACAGAGAAGTCTTTATAGGGAATGGGGCTTACTTTGCTCACCTCTCTAGTCTAGCATCTGCGTTTGTTGCCATTTCTTTTTCCAAAAGTTGCCGCAAAAGTGCCAAAAGTTGCCATTAATTTTCAAGCTTTCAACTCTCTGTGACGACGTACAGCAACATGTTGATAGAGGTAACTTCTTGTGCTCTGTTTTAAGCATCCAGAATATCATTTGTAGCCACACAGAGTGTAAAAACGTGAAAAATAAAGGTTTCACAATAGAAAGAAATCAAAATGAGAAAATAAGGGCGTGTGTCCACCTATCCGAAGATTGGCCGTTTTAACTCTAAGCGTGTGTAATTCAAGAAAAAGTACAGGATATTACATGTAAATTATGGAATCACACTCAAGGGGCCTGCCAGTGTCAGTACATGTATTCGGTTTTGGTGGAGAGACGCTCTAACATAACACATTATACACTTTTTAAAAAGATAGGAACAACATAACTTAAATTACATTTCGTTATATGAACACAAAAATTTTTAAAAACCCAACTCATCGGAACAATAACAACAAATTAACACACCTACAAATTAAAACACCACAAAGAGGAAAAAATAAAAGAAACAGCAATATCTCTGTAAGTGCCGTGCCCTTGGAATATATAAGATGTAGTTGTAGATGAACACATAAATTATCAAGATTAATAAAATACTGGTGGAAGTGGGTTGACAATATATTATAAGCCAAAACTTTGACTGAATGTCACTTTCCCAGTTATCATAACTTGAGGTGCATTTTGGTTGTCAGGTCGTGGATGATATTACGGTTAGAAGGGTCCTTATTCCTTTTCCTCTGGTATTTCTTTTATTCTACTTCTAAGTATTAGATCTAGGGCAGTTGAGAGAAGTTTGAAACTGCCTGTAAAGAAAGAATGCTCTGAGGCAAATACGCTTCTATTTAAATCGAGAATTCTTTTTTTTTCAGACCACTAAATTCAAAAATGTTTGCAACATCCCGGATCACTTTGTGGAGAAACATTACAAGCTTCAGGGTGTGGTCAAACAGGTCACTCAAGACGGGGCTCTGCTGGTCGACCACATACCCATAATGCACCTGGACATGTTTCCTAAGGGAGACCTGCACAGTGGTTAGTTTTTTCAGTATGCCACTTTGGGGAGATTTTTGTGCGTGCATAATGTCTGTGTAAAGTGTGCTTTTGTCTGTGGAGTGAGGGAAAGAGGAGGGGAGCTAGGGGAGGAGGGAGAGAGGTAAATGAAGAGAGAGAGAGAGAAAATTCAAAATGCGAGAAAGTGAGAGGGAAAGAAAAGGGGGAGGGGGAATAAAATGAGGGGGGGCAAGGAGAAGGCCTATACATATAGGGCAGAAGCACAGCTTAAAATCTTCAGTTTATCTGGTAATCTGGGGTGAAAAGGTATTTGAAATTTTTTTAATCTCCTGGAATGGTACTATGGACAAATTGTAGTAGTACTGATTTTCAAGCCATCTGTATATTCTTCTGTGCACATTTTTAGAACAATTGTGTGTGTGTTCCTGGAGAAAGGTCCTGTTGCCAACAAAGCTATTTTTGAGCAACGCTGTGGAAATGGCCAAAAAAGTCGTAGCTGGTCAAAAATTTAGTTCCTTTAGAAAACACACATTCAACCATTTCTTGATAACATATTGAAAGGATTTTATAATGTTTTTAGTCTAAATATTTTATTAGTTGTTTTTGCAACATGTTATACTTCACCAAAGGTTAAAAATGTGCTAAAAATTAGTGCTACAAAATGTGGCCCATCTTTAAAGCTACTCAAGATATTTTTTAAAATGTATATAATCATATAGGCCCTATATATATATAGCTCAGTGTGTTCAACATTAGATTTGCTACAGGAATATGCCCTTACTTGAATATCCAAAATTTCCGACAACTGGGACATACACTTTTGTTTGACATAATTTATTACAGTAGCTGAGTTTCTAGTTGTCTGTTTAATATATTGTGCACATTTTTAGAACAGCTGTTTGATGCAATATATCTTGTAACTGAGCATCAAGCCATCTGTGTACTGTCTGTACATTCCTAGAGCAGCAGTACCTGTGCCTTCAGCTAGCTGGCTTGTCTATGACTCCTGAGGGTAACAAGTGGCTACACACTAACACAGTTAGGAGACACGTGTGGTTCACTTTGCTGCAGCGCGACAGCCAGGTGCTGGATTGCCACATTAAAGTGAAAAAGGTCAGTTTATCAGTTGTGATGTGTCTGTCTGTCAGTCTGTCTGTCTCTCCCTCTCTCCCTCCCTCTCTCTCTCCCCCTCTTTCCCTCCCTCCCTCCCTCCCTCTCCCTATCCCCCCCTCCTCTCTCTCTCTCTCTCTCTCTCTCCCTCCCTCCCTCCCTCCCTCCCTCCCTCTCTCTCTCTCTCTCTCTCTCTCTCTCTCTCTCTCTCTCTCTCTCTCTCTCTCTCTCTCTCTCTCTCTCTAGGCTAGGACTGTTATGAATAGACTTAATTTTAATATTATTTAATTAAATAATTGATATTTTAATATTTTAACATTTTAATTTACACACTTACGCACACATCCTTTCTTTGCCCCTGTTGAAGTTTGGATAAGTGTGTTGGACTAACTTTACTGATGTAAGACATAATGTGCATAGGTTTGAGTCTAGGCTTTCCCAGATACATGAACTGAGAAAGCCTAGGTTTGAGTGCGTCATTATGTTATAGAATGTTAACTATAAATTCTATACTCTGAGATGCACCTATTTCTTTGTGTCTGTTGATTTCTTCATTGCATTATATTAGGACTGAATTGGTCCAAATTTGAAGAGCTTACATTCAGTTACTTTATAAAGCTCTATTCCTATAATCTATTGTAGTGAGACAAAATCGGGGAGTAATTTTTCTCTCCTCATTTTCATGGTTATTTCTCTTGTTAAAGTGCTCCATTCAGATAACGTCTTAAAATTTGTAAGTGTACAACATTCTGGTCTCGACATTCAATCTACTGTCTGCCTTCTTCCCCTCACCATACCATGCGCCCCCCCCCCCCCCTCTACCATACCCCTGCCGTCGTTTTAATCCCTGATCTTACTATGCGCCCCTTTTTCCCACTTATCTTATTATCGATCCCCCCTACTTTACCCTCATTATGCTATCCACTACCCCCCCCCCCCCCACTCCTGATCATACAGTACCTGCTCCCATTTTCCCCCTCATTCTACTGTTACTCTATGCCCTCTCTCTCCTCTTTCCCTTCACCTTACTATGCCACCTTCCCCCTCCCCCCCGAAAAATATTTATTTAAAATACAACCTCATCCTACTAGTATGGGTTAGCTTTATTTGGTTACTTTTTAATAATCTTTTGTCCCATTTTCAATACGGTCCTATCTACTATGCCCTTCTGTGCTTTTATCTCAGTGTTCAATGCAAGTTTTTACATTAAATCAAAACAAGGAGAAAAGTTTTATTTTGGCCTGTATCATGTTCTCCTCAGAGCTTCTGGTGGTATCAGAGTGTGAACAAAGCCCTGGTGAGACAAGGCATTTGTGCTGTGAAACATTTTGATTCACTGCCTAAGTCAGACAGCTACAACAAATTGTTGCGACAGCTCATCACATTGGAGGATGCCGCCTCCAGGAAGGGGCGAGGCTTGTGGAGAGAGGAGAGTAAATACAGGGCCTGGATGAGACAAAAAAGATCTTTGTTCACTTTTCAATGGATAAAAGACAAATGGCAGAATATTTGGAGGAAGAAAAGTCAACCTCCGTCTTAATGTTAAAAGTTTATAAGATGAAGAATCTCTGTTTCTGTTGTGCCATACGTTAAGTTGTTGGCTTATACACATGATTAGGTCAGTACCTATGGTGTTGGATGTCATGAGAAAGAGCTTCAGATGACAGATGAGCTTCCCATTGAAAAAAAAAATTGTGGCTTTTGGATTAGTAAAGCTGTCTGTCTCTGTGATCTCTTGCACCTTGGCAGACGAACAGGACAGCAGACACAGTTCAATGGATGCATGATTTCGAGTCTTTTGTGTTCGACCTATCCGTGTTATACTGTAGTATGAAATACAGTCAAACCTTATTATTAGGGCTGGAGTCTGCTCGATTAATCGAAGGCTTGCGAGCAATGGACGGCTCGTGCCAGAGGCTTGCGAGCAGGCTTGAGCTTTGCCTGCTACCGGAGTTGCTACTCGTGGACGGCGGACGGGCTTACTGATTTGTGTCGTGACGTCACAAACTCTTGTTTACTGAGCGTGCGATACTTCTGCTCGCGTGCCGCACGCTGACAAGCCCTAAAAAACCCTCACACTTCCAGCGATGGCGCTGTTTGGGGAGAGGGGGGGTGGTATGGCTGGGAAAGCGAGAGGTGTTCGCCACCCCTCGCTTTCCGTAGAACCCGCCCCTGCCCTTACGCCTCCTGGTGTGACAGGGTTTTATTTGTCTTGTTTTTTGGGGGGGTTTTTTGGTTGTTTTTGTTGATTTAAAAAAAAAATTTTTGGTGGGGGGAAGGATTATGTTTTGCTTTATTGATTTTCTGGGCGTAATTCGACATCATAATTAATATTTGTATGATAGAACATGCACAATACATACATAATATCAGTTACAGTGCAGCAAGATGGGTTTTTTTTAAAGTTATAGGCCTACAATGTAATTAACAATGTGATATAATTTACCTTAACAATGATCTTCTGATAGGGAAGCAGTCAAATCAAAATTGTTTTACATTGTTCAGAAACAAAATGACGATAGTCATCCCCTCCCCAATGCTTTCTCTTCAACTTCAACTTGTTCTAAGTGTCGGAGTGGGAGTGGAAGTGTAGTTTAGGCGAGTGATTAAATTACAAGCCACAGGATGCTAACAATACTGATTTATTTTGTCAGCTAAAAATTGTTTGTAAGTGTTCACACCTTTATTATGCGTCCTAAATAGTTTAGCATACCGCGACCCCAGTGCTTTCTTGTCGTATCTCCATTTTTAATACCAGTGAAAACAGCTCATAACAAAATGTGAGCCTACGAAGATGTCACACTTTCACTGTTAAAGCACCGAGGTCGCGAACGGTCTGCACTAGGCTATTACAGCCTCTCGCTTCCTCCACGTCCAGAGTTCAGAGTTCACGCCGCGAGCTGGGTGGATTACCGGTAGATCTTGCGGCCTGGTGCAGACGAGCGGTGTTTGCCTGACGAGCGGTGTTGTACTGACGAGTGGTGTTGTACTGCCAGGGCGGTAGTTGGACTCAAAGCAGATTTATTGGCACGAGAGCAAGCCCTTAGCACAAAGCAATACGAGACGCAAAGCAGGTCTTGGGACCAAGTGCTTTGCTCTGCTGCAATTTGAGTCTTGCCTGCCGTCCGCTGCTCGTATGCCTTCGATTAATCGAACAGACTAGTTTGTGGCGCAGTGACACTGTGCGCGGGGTCTCTCTCTCTCCCCCTCTCTCTCTTTCTGATGTTAGTGGTTTCGCGGATTGCAAGCAGGGAGGGGAAGGAAGAGGGGGTCAGACACGAGTGGCTTCACGGATTGCAAGTTGGTGTAGGTACTTGAAGCTTAGGCTAGACTCAACGTATCATGCTGGTGATTTGATTTGATGATTTGACCTAGTGATTTGAGGCTTGTTACTTGAACTAGGGGCTTACGAGCACGAGCGCGTTTGCTCCCGGGGTACAGCCCTACTTATTGTACTGCCAGCCCCGTTTACCACCAGGTTTTGCCAGTGTACGAAAAGGACGCCTATATTGATATAAACATAGTATTTGCGCCTTTACGTCGCCTTTTGCCAACTGTCTGGGTTGTACAGTCACTATAAAACTAATGTAAAATTACCCGGCTGTACCACCAGCAAATTAGCCCCCAGAGGTACACACTACACAAGGCACTCACTCTTTCCTTAACACGTCTTTGCGAGTTCGGACTATTTTTAGCTTTTGTCATTGATTTGCATTAATTATGAAAATATTACCATTTTTAGGCTTTGCCAATATTCTTTTTAAGCATTGAAATGAAATTTTTAAAAGTCGTCTAGAGAAACGTCAAATTCAAAGGAACTGCACCACTTCGGCCAATTGGCGAAATATCTGGCAATGTTGCTTTTATATTGGGAGGATTCACAATACTACGCGAAAAGTCTGAGTCGACCTGGGGACTGGCGAGTGTTGGGTTAAAAAATGTGCGTCTTAAGGGTCTTTGACATGTGTAATATAGCCTAGCTTCTGATCTGGACGAAATATTCGATTCAAATTTACATTAAAGTTCAGTTGGAACTGTTCATATGATTTGTTGTAATTATTTTTTCCTGTTCTTGGCAAGTGCAATCGCACATCATAGCAGATCTAGATGAGTCAAGACTGGCCACAATTTGTCTTTAGTCTCTACCCCTAGTCAAGATGGCAATCGGTGCTATCCCATTATACCACCAGCCCCGCTGTACTGCCAACTTAACGCTCATCCCGAGGTAGACGGTAAAACGAGGTTTTACAAATAATGTCTTTTGTATGCTCCAAGGGAGAGACATGGTCAATATATTTGGTGTCAAGGAAGGTGTATAGGGTGCCTCACTTTTTTACAGGTATGACTGATGGGGATATTTTTTTTTTATGGTAGGAAATTTTTTATTTTGAATTTTGCCCAGGTGGCAGCTAATGGCCTCCTCTTCTTCAATTTTCAACCACTGAGGGATCTTTAACATGTACAACTTGCACATGGGACCTCTGAGATTTTCCGTCCATGTCTGAGAAGACAAGATGAGGGAGAAGAAGGGACTTGAGTGAGTGAGCGAGAGTGACTGCCTAGTATTTCTTTTATTTTGTATAAGTGGTCTATAGTTACCTCAGACTGCTATGTCAATGTGCTTGACTTTTGTTTGAATATCTAGAGGAGCAGTTTTGTACTTGGGTTGTTTCAAACGAGTACAGTGGATTCCTGTTATAAAGAGAGGGAGGGAACCGGTGCGAAACATCCGTTATAGCAGGATTCTCGTTATAAGGGATCCAGTAATAAATTCAAGGGAAATAATACAGTAGGCCGAATCTATGAGTCTGGTTTTCTGTTTGTTTCTTTTTGTAATCTCCCCTAGTGATGATTTGGTTCTACGTGATCTCTAGGTCCTACTCGATCAAAAATATCAATAGTCTTGACCTTGTGTGTGGATGTAAGAGGTCATGGCTCTTGATATACTCATACCATTCTCTACAGTCAGAATTTTAGAATTGTGTTACTTGGAATCTGTTGTGTACAGATAGATCTGACTAGATAGCGGAATTATTTACTGCTGTGTATAGATCATAATAATGATATAACTGACTGGATAGCATTTATGTCTCTGTAAATGATCTTATGTTGTGTTCCAATAGAACTGAATTGGTAACCTAATGATCTTATGTTGTGGATAGATGACTGAGCTGTGATATTTTTGTGTTGGTAAACGCTTTGTTCAGAAGAGTGTCAGTTACTTTTGTTTTTATCTTTTTTTTGCATTTTTTCTAAGTTTACTTTGATTGATTTTGTAAAATGTTATGTGGTTGGAGTTTGTGCATGAATTAAATCTGGATACTCACACTCATAAAACCTTGACCATTTCCTTTTTCTGTCCCCATTGTTTTGTTATTGAATCATTAGACTCTCATGTCTTGTTGATTTCCCTTTCCTTTCAGTACTTTTTTTCTCACCAGCTGTAGTTCCAGAGTGCTCACCCTCAGTGTCAATATATGGGTGATCAGTGTGTACTATGCTTTGTCTCTACTTTGTTCTCACCCTCTTATGTTCCCAACTACATGTGGCCACGCTGTACTGACTCGTCAAAAACTCCATGAACTCAACGTCTCATCATCTCTATACAGTTGTCTCCACTTATGTCAAATTCGCATGAGTTGATCTGTGGTTAAGTTGATCCTTTTCTCTAGTCCCAGCACCTCTTCTTTACATAATCTATAAAAATCAAACAGTTACATGGAGTTCAAATTCATCTCTACTTTAAATATGCTTGAGTTAAAGTTGAAGTGCTTTCCTGCAAGTATGCAATGGTTGAATGGGTTTTTAAAAAAATATTTCATTTGTGTATCGCTTCAAATTTTACGCATCAGTTTTGACATGAGTTTAACGTAAAAATACAATCCTGTAGAACCGATCAACACGCAACAGTCCTACATAGTATCTCAATGAAAGAGCAAGGAGTGGGTGTGTGTGTGACATTACTATGCAATTAGTTATAGCCACATTAATGTGTTGTTGCTTCCACTTCCCCTCCGTTCAAGGCTGAAGTGCATGGTGCACCGCAAGACAATGAGTACATGTAATACATAAGGTAATATAGTTTTTTAAGGTTCTTAAGTCTGATGTGTTTCTTTTTTGGAAGCAAAACTATCGTTTGAACACATGATAGTTGGAAAATTCCAAAACCGAAAAATTGTGCGCATGCATGGAGCCATGAAAGAGAAAAAGGGGGGATGGGGTGGAATCAATTTCCTCTCGTACCTTTAAAATGTAACACACCGGTTAAGGCCTTCAGGGTGTCCCGAACTCGATGACTGCCAAATAAAGTTAAATAAAAAATTGCTTTAAATACACCAATGTCCTTTGGTGGAAACACCATAGGAACCATCCAGAAAGCTACACAATTTATTACGTGACGAAGGTATACACATTTCTAGAACTGTTAGCTTTACGAAAGACACTTCAACGCATAAATTCCGTGTTCTGACCAAAAGCGGCGTTCTGACCACTGCTGCGGCTTGCAGTAGCTCTGCCCTTGTCTCAGTTTTTGAATTCCTCTCGTTCATTATATCATCTGGGTTTTCAGTTTCTCAGTCTCAGTGCCCGCAATTCTCTTGTTAATTTTTTCGAGTCCCGTAGAAATAGAAATGAGCCTCGTCACTAAAGCGAATAGAGCGTTTTCTCTCTCTCTCTCTCTCTCTCTCTCTCTCTCTCTCTCTCTCTCTCTCTCTCTCTCTCTCTCTCTCTCTCTCTC